CCGCCCCTCGCCGTTCTGTGGGGAGCGGGCTCAGCGTTTTGTCATTTACCGGGTTATCGTTTGGAGACAGAGGTAAAAACAGGAAGGAGGAAAGCAAAAGGTGGGAGGGGGTGCTGCCCTGCCCGGCTTCTCCGCGCCGCCCCTCGCAGGGCCCGGAGCCCGAGGCGGGACTCGGTGCTTCCTGCGCTGCTGGTGGAAAAGATGCACCGCGGCAAACGCGTGTGCCGAGTACGGAGCTGCTAAGAGCTCGTCAATCATCTAATGTAGTTAAAAAGGCATGTGAAATAGCATATGTTAATTTGTGCCTCCTGGGAGACTGCTGTCAGAATCAGCAGAGCTGCCTGTGTTCTAGCAGCTGCTGCTGGGAAGGAGGGATTGTTAGATCCGTGCTGGGGCCTGGAAGGCGCCCGGAGGGACACGGGTGTGCTGGGTACCGTGATGCCTTGCTGCGCTGCTTGTCGCTGAGGCAGTTTTTGGTCTGTCAGGGATCATGTCTTTGCTTAATGATGAACACAGTAGCAGTGTGGGGTCTGTAATCCATCACAGCATCACAGATTTAAGCTCCTCCTTGGGCATATTCCATTATTTTCTGCAGTGTGGGCTGTTTTCAATAGGCTGTCTTACTCCTTTGTCCTCTTTCTTCAACCTGCTCAAAATTTATGAAGCTTTGTCATTAAAATGTTCATCTGTGAAGCTGGGAAATAGGGTTTCAGCACTCCCTGACTGGGAGCCAGCATCCTCCTTGATATTGTCTGGCCAAATGTTGAGTGAAGCAGTTGAAGTTGTAGGGCAAATATAGGCAAAATGCTTCTGGAATACTCTTAGAACTCTCAGTAACTCAGTTCTAATTAGAGCAGGAAAGGTAACATGCTTCTTGCTTTACTTTTCAGGAACATGTTAAGTAGTAATGGCTGCTCCTAGAAGTATTAAAATCAGTAGTTCTTCAGAAGTAGAGATTTTTGAGGGTTTTTTTTTTGGTTAGTGGTTTTTTGGGGTTTTTTTGTTTTTGTTTTTTTTTGTTTGTTTGTTTTTAATGGGAGCATAATCTTTGGAGCATGGATTGTGATTGTATGGGATACATTTTGTAGGGCACTTAGATTGTACTTAAAAATGCTTTTAAGCGGGAATATAAATTTTAAATTTTGTCTTGCTTCTAAATCTGTATCTTTATGTACATTAGAAATTGACCTATGCAACAGTCTGTAAAGTAGGTAGCAGCACTTTTTTGATGAATCAGAAGGACAGGGAAGTTTTAGCAGAGAGCTTGCGAGACTTTCCCCCGTCACATGTGAAGTGCACCAGAGGAACATTCCTACTTCCGTTCTCAGAATCCTTTACAAGTTTCCAGTTTTTGTCTGCTTTGGACATAAGTCACTCTGGTGTTTTCCAGGAACTCCTTCACTTGGTGATATGACAGTTTTAATTTTGTATTTTTCCTACCTAGAAGATCTCCCTTGATCCAATTATGAAAAAATGTTTAGAAAAGGAAAAAAACGACACAGCAGCAGCAGTTCACAAAGCAGTGAAATCAGTACTAAAAGCAAGGTAAGCTGAATGTGGTATACACTCTGTTTATGGAAGTGCTTCCATTTGTTACAAGTTGGCAGTTCAGTGAATTGCTTGCACTGAGAGTAGGATGTGATTTCCATAAAATGCCATGTTCCACAAGGAGAGCTTTCTACTTCAGCTATTCATCAGATTGTGTTATGAGAGTTAAAAAAAACCCTAGGCATTATAAAGCCCTTGTATTCTGAGATGACTGCTCTGTTGCTTCCAACGTGAAGCCCACAAACACAAGAGCTTCTGGCACCACAATGCTACAGTTTGGAGGAAACAGTAGTATGTTTGTTCTGTAGTGATAAATACTGTCTTTAAGAAGGTGCCTGGTGCTAGGTACCAATAATGAGTTTATTCTTCAGTATTAGTTAGTTACTCAGTATCTCTAAAAAGTATTCTTCATTTTGAATAATGTGTCCATTTTGTCTGCTAGGTTTTGGAATGATCAGTTGAATATTCTGGATTTTCCATGGTGCCGTTTCACTTCCCTTGCACTGCTATGTTATTTCAAGCATTGGTGACAAGCATGTAGTTGTCAATTTCTTCAAGTTAAGATGCAGTACCAGAAAAGTCTGGACATAACCTTAAGGTTCATTTTCTCTTTTTCTTTTATTTCCTCCTCCTTTCAAAATGTTTGTAGACTTCTCAGTTGAATTTATATCAGTCTAATCCACATTGAGGCAGAAAGATAACTTCAGGAAATAAATAGGTGGTGTTGGTTTTTTTCTCCCCATTTTGCAGTGCTGCTTAAGTAATTAGAACACAAACACTAGTTTATTTTTAAAAAAGAGTTGAGGCAGGACATCTAAAAGTGAATTTTTAATATGTTCTCAGTAACTTTCTGATGATACTTATTTTTATCTTAGTCTGTAGATTCCAGTCTTGGGGGACTTTCCAGGTCTAGTACTGTGGCTAGTCTAGATACAGACTCCACGAAAAGTTCAGGTATGTAATCAGAGTTTGAGCAGATATGTATGGAGCAGAATTAACTCTACGTGTGTTCATATAAAAGAGCAGACAATGGAAAAGGTTAAAATACGTATTTTTAATAATTGTGAGTGAATCTGTTAGCCTGTTGACTAAGGCATGCATAGCTCTAGGCTTCTAAAGTATTAGTAATGATTCACCTAGGATTAAGTCACTGTTTTCAAAGTAAAGTGTCTGAGTGAGAAAAAAATTTGTTGCATTACCAGTCTGTTACACAGCATAAATCTGGTATAACTTTTTCAAAGCTATGTTTCCTACTTTTATAAGTTTACATTTGCACTGAACTAATGGAAATAAGACTTCATTTTACTTGTTCTTGCTCACCAGATCACAGTGCATCACTGTTGGACCAAATAGTCCATTTAAAAAAAAAATTATATAGAAAAGTAGAACCAGCTTTTCTATGTTTTCTGATTTAAGGTTGTTAACTTCAAATCTAAATTAGTATAAACAATGCTGTCTCAGGGATTCATAGGAAACTGTTGCCTTTACCAGGAGTTGTTCTGAATCAACCCAGGACAGTTCATTAAAGGGAGGAGTTAATATACTATGGTAAGGTTAAGTGTTTTATGAAAGTCTGCAAAAATTACGGAATTGAATAAGTTAGCCCCATTAACACCAATTAGAATAGGATTACTGTTCTGCCATTTTTCAGAATTGCTTTGTTTTATTTTTTTGCAGGACAAAGCAATAGTAATTCTGATACGTGTGCAGAATTCAGAGTTAAGTATGTTGGTGCCATTGAAAAACTGAAATATAATGAGAGCAAAAATCTCGAAGGGCCATTGGACTTGATAAATTACATAGATGTTGCACAGGTAAGTGGGTTACAAACAATACCAACAACATCAGAACATCTTGGGCTTAGGTGTAGTTCTTTCATATTATCACATGATCTGACATCTTTCTCTGTAAGTTTTAAACTTACTAGAGTAAAGTAGCTTACTTTAAAAAAACGTTAAGTTTGAATCTCAAAATCTGTCATACTCAACTCATCCTGTTGAGTAACTGGAGAAGATGCACCCAAAAAGCCGTTCTGAAGAAGCAAGCTCAGAGCGAGGCCCTTTTCATGAGTCATTACTGAACAAGTATCCCAATTGAAAGTTGTTATATTGTCTTCAGCACTGTTAGAATTAGTATCCAGGTAGTAATATCTCCTTTAGATTTCCTCAGTAGTGGAGAGGTTTTCCCGTAGAGGAAAATGTCAAGTTTCTGCTTACAATCACTTATGAACCTGTGACCAAAGAATGTGAATAATATTGGGGTCATCCTTGCCAAACTGTGGTTACTTGTACTTATTTTTGTACTAAAAGCCCTAACTGGTTGTTCTCATTAGGTAGCTGATGGTTTGTATATTTAGAAGCACAAAACATCTGTTTATCTTATAGCAAGTTGACATTTCAAGTATCTGAATATATGCTATAACTATTTTTACAGACAAATAACAAAATTGCTGCCAGTGTGGACCATAGATCACCCAGGCTGAGCACAGCATGACAGGGCATGCATTACTTTTCAGCCCATCTGATCTGACCACAGGGCCAAACTCCCCCCTGAGATGATAAATTCCTTTCTGGAATCATGTAATGTCTAGAACAGAATATTTCAGTTGGAAGGGACCTATAACAATTGCCTAGTCCAACTGCCCGACCATTTCAGGGCTGGCCAAAAGTTAAAGCAGGTTATTAAGGGCATTGTCCAAATGCCTCTTAAACACTGACAGGCTTGAGGCATCAACCACCCCTCTAGGAAGCCAGTTCTAGTGTTTGACCACCCTCTCCGTAAATAAATGCTTCCTAATGTCAAGTCTAAACCTCACCTGAATATATTTCACATGAAGTACAGGGATTGGATGAGTGCAGGAGCGGCAGGCAACCTCCACACAGCAAGATATGAGCAGAATTAGTGATGTTGCTGATCCAGTGGACATTTTCTATTGTGTATCTTCATTGTTCATGTTCTTCTGTCTGCACTAAAGGCTTTTGTTTGTTTCCCTCCAAAGCAAGATGGAAAGTTACCTTTTGTTCCAGGTGAAGAGGAGTTTATTATGGGAGTTTCCAAATACGGCATTAAAGTTTCAACATCTGATCAGTATGTAAGTGATTCGCAACAAACTATTTTTGATGAGAGCTGAAAAGTGCTTTATTTCTCTGATAGATGATTTGTGTGACCAAAATGTCACTTGTGGCTTTGAGCAAAAGTCAAACAAACAAACAAAAAAGCTCTTACAGCAGCACTGCTTCATGGGGCTCTCTGTATTTTCCTGGTTGGATTGGTTGGATTTATGACAAGAATCCATTCCTTTTGAGATAGAGCACCAGACAAAAGGCAAGCGAGCCTTTCTGCTCCTAGGGCACATCTTCCTTTCTCAGTGGCTGTCCTGCCATCCTGTCATGTGGAAAAGGAGCATGACTGGTGGGAAAGACCATAGGTTCCTCAGCCTGAGTTAGTAATGCAATTCCTGTTGATGTTATTGTGGAGAGGAAAAAACAAAGGATGCTTTTTTCAACAATACTTGAGTTTTCTTCCTCTTTAACATTCCAGCCTTACACTCCTAATCCAAGAGTGGGAGTTCACTCCAGCATTAAAGCCTTATGATTCCACTTTATTGATCAAGCCTATTTTTTGTTTGCATAGTTTCCTACATGTAGTTATTTTCCTTAAGCGCACTTCAAGTTGCTTTTTTTTGGTTAAAAATAAAAGTCCAGTCTCTTCCCCAGGGCCCTCCAGTTGCCTTTGTATAGCTTTGTGTTGCAGCCACGTGATTTCCTTCTGGTTGCCCTCAGAGCCCCAGATACCATAAATACTTGGCCTGTTGAAGTCATGACCCATCAGCAACCCAGCAATGCCTGTTCGTAAAAGCCTCAAGTATAAGGACAGTGAACAGCATTGCTCAATAGCTGAAAATTCTGAATGAAGAGAGCCAAAAAGTTTCCTTTTGTCCCTTCAGAAAATAAAACACTTGTTTCTAATGCCTGGGAAGAAGTGTAGTAGTTGTTACTCAAACTTTGAATTCTTTTGGGTTCTGTTTTTGCTGTCCTCCTAAATTCTTAGTTCTCATTAAGAATATGGGTTACACTATTATGTAAATTCTTTTGTACTTTTATAAAGATGAAGTAGGTAATTTAAAGACTTTTATCCATCCTTCTTGTAGCCTCAAGCTGAAAGCATGCGCAAGCTGATAAACTCTTCTGTGATTAAGCTAGCTTGCATTGGCATTTTATGGCATTGCATTCTGTTTCCCAAATTCTGGCATTTTGCATCTGTGTCACTGTTGACATTTAATTTGCCCTTTGGTGTGTTAGCCCACCTAACTCTTCCATAGAGTTCCAAGATGGAAAGGTTTTCTCTGCATTCATACAAATAATTTGGTCTTTTATGACTTTGGGGAAAGGTGAGTTCTGTGATTTGTAGATACCTTTGGAGGTGAATAGGCAGCTGTTTATTTCAGAGGCCAAAAAGAGAATTGACTGAAGGATACAAAATTTTTCCGCATGGATTTCAGCCAACATTTGAGAAATTATTTCATTAATGACTGAAGTATGTGCAGATATGTCGTTCATTGATACATTTCCATTGTTTGTGGATACAACCACTAGAAACCAAAGGTGAAATATTTATAGAAGTCACACTGAGGCTTTGGCCTTATTCACAGTCTGTTTGCATGTATCTGTACATGATACATATGTGTACATACATGTATAGCACAGTTTGTCCATCTGCCATCTGATTTTTCTCTCAGCTGCAGCATCATCCCCTCATAGCCAGATACTGGAAGGAGGGGAGGAAATTCATTTCCAAGGGGAATTCCATCCTCCCTCTTTCAGTGATAATCCACATGTACATTAGCACTGTAACAAGCTCCAAGCAAGTAATTATAAAAAGTTACAAGTAATCTGGAGGCAAAGCTTGGGCATCTTTCATACAGAGACTGGAGGGTTGATCCAGTTAAGTTCCATGTCAGCTCCAGTTGCCTTCAGTGTAGTTGGTGATGGTCTGAGTAATTGTGGACAATTGCTGAGGGAATGTCAGGGTCAGAGATGTTTTTCAGCAAGGGCATCTTAGGAGCTCTGGTAGAGGGCTCTCCCTCGAGGGTTTCATGGCAAGCATCAAGCTCACTGTCCATTTTTACAGCTTGTGTATCAAAGCAAAAGTTTCTTTAGACCCTCCAGCTACTGAGAGGGACAAGGTGTTTGATGCCATGAACATAGGAAAAGAGCTGTCTTGAAGTCAGAAGACCTTAGAGGTGGTATGACTGCAATAAAGCAGATGAATATCATTGGTTGGGTAGGATGGCTTGAGAAGAAAGGCTGTGTTGGGTAGGTCTGCAGAGACCTTCTACTGCATAACATCACCCAATCCCTTTTTGCAATGGCCAGGATCACAGCTGTTGGGACTATGATGAAACCCTGCAACTGCGGTGGATAGCAGAAGTCAAGACCCGTGCTGTGGCTCAGGCTACAAGGGGCCTGGCCATATCCACATGGCTACCCTGCCTCTGCCCCAAAGCAAGTACCCTTGTCCATAGACTCTTCTGGGAACAGTTTCTTGTGTTTATCCTTCCCAGTCCTGAGACAGGGATGGTCTGGAAAAATACTGGAAAAGTAAAAAGTTGTTTTAAGTCTGTACCATCTGTCCTACTCACAGCAGATGAGTGAGGATAGGTAGGAAACAAATGTGTGCTTTTGTAGTGTGGCCAGGAATACAGTCCACATGTGAATGAAATTCTAAAATAGAAGCAAAAATTAAAACTAAAATTGTGTTACACCACCACTTATATTTGAAATCTTGACTAAACTCTCAATTAAAAAACTGTAATTTTATTAAGGAATACTTTTCTCCTGTAAATTAATCTGAAGTATTCTTTTGTAAGAGAGAGAATCAAAATGGGTGGGAAACTGAAATAGCTGTTGCACTGTTCCAGAGTAACTTATATTTGCCACATGGTTTCAGGATGTATTACATAGGCATGCTCTCTATTTAATTGTACGGATGGTCTGCTATGATGATGGTCTGGGAGCAGGAAAAAGTTTACTGGCTTTGAAGACAACAGATGCAGCCTCTGAAGAATGCAGCCTCTGGGTATATCAGTGCAATAGTTTGGTAAGAGTTTATGTTTACAGTGTTTAATTTAGGTATCAGTATTTTGATTGTAAAGGGAGATTCTAAAACCCAAGACCCTTGTGAAGGCTTTTTGGCAGAAGGGGGATTGCTCAATTAAAGAGAGTATAAATGTGCCCTGGCTGAGGAGGGGAGAAAAGCCCTGCTGACTGCATTTGGTCAGCTTTGAGGAAAAATACCTACATTTGCTAAAAATAACAATGAAAATGGTCATGAGAAAGCTCTTCGCAGTCCTTAGAGTGCTAGTGTAGCTGCTGAGGACAATCCTCCATTTGTATTTTCAAAGACAACAATAAACCTCTTAAGATCAGACAGGGCAGGGAGGGATTGAGCAACAATTCTGGTAATAGAGCGTGCATTCAAATTTATAAGCAAGAGAAGTGATGTCTTAAGAGTAGTAGAATTCATTGTCGAGATATGATGCTATGAACACACCCTCAGCAGCACTGGGGGAATACATGAACTGACTTTCTGACTGCTAGTGTTGTGCTATGATGAAAGCTAATAGCTCGACTTGTTTCAAAAGAGCTCATTTAAAACAGCTTCCCACGTCATTGCAGACCACAGAAATAAAATCAAATCTCACTTGTGCTACTCCATTTTGCATGTCTCTGCCAAAAGAATTATAAAGGTCACATTCTGCTCTAAATTAGTTTTGAGACCTTTAGAAGTTCTTCAGAAAGTGTTAATGTGCATGTTTGCTTGGATTTTTTTTTTAGGAACAAGCACAATCTATTTGCAAAGTGTTATCTACAGCCTTTGATTCAGTTTTAATGTCGGAGAAGTCCTGATTTTCTTCAGCAACACATGACTGTAGTACAAGAGGCTTCTGTGATACCAGAGACTGGCTGTAGCTACACACAAACCTAGAAAAGACTTGCAGTGCAAAGAAGAGCCATGCAGCCTTGCACATGGTACTTTGTAATTCCCCAAACATGACTTGAAGAAGTTATTCCATCTTCCGTTTCCAGGACAATAAAGAATTTTGTATTTAACTTTTTTTTTCCTATCATGTTTTGTATATTAATGTCAATATTGTAGAAATGTAAAATAAAACTGATGCTTGTATCTCTTTCTCTGAAAAACAGTTTGTTAATATAGACTTCAAGTCTGCTTAACGTAGATATTAGAACAAACAAGAGCCAAGTGATAAGAGGTAGTCATTTGGTGCTTTACACCTCTAATTTAATCTTAGATGTGTTGTCTACACAGTTTTTACCTCCAACTAAAAGTCCACAAGATGAACATTTTTTTTTCTCAGGTGCTACATCTTTGTATTTCTCATTTTACACATTGAAAAGAACAGTATTGCGTAAGTGTTGTGGTTTATCAAAAACCAAAACCAGGACACTAAGCACTGCAGCGTAACAGAAGAGAAATAGCCAAACTGACTTTAAAAGTAGTTTTATTTTTCCAGACATTTGACTGGTTAACAAGAGTAAAATTTATTAATCATGCTCTAATTATAAATCACTGCATCCAGGACATTGAAAATAAGAGTTGATTTTAGGTTATACAATATATACAGTTGCTCTGCAACTAAACAAAATAAAAACAACTGAATTGAATATTATACATCTCATAGCATTCTAAGTCACTTGCTCCTTTTTAAACAGTTAACACAGCAACCTAATAGTCTGTCTATTAACAGGTTTTTTGAATCATTTTAATCAGTTTTGAAAAGTTGTATGAAATATGCCAAAATTTTGGACTTAAAATTATTGATTTTATATTATAAATAGATATCTACAGGCTCTAGAATTTATTTTTCCTCTGCCAGAGGAGCAAATTTCAAGAAACATGGAAAATTAGGGATAAATTTTCTTAGCTGCTCTTTATTGGTCCTCAAGATTTTATCTGTCTGCACTGTTAGTGCTATTAAGTGGTATTCTGCAAGTTTTTAAGTGAACAGGGAACAAGGTTGTGACATTTTAAAGTGTATTCTCTTCTAGCAGAACTCAAGGAAAACTTGCATCATTGTTTAACTTTACGAGTTGTTACATACACTATAAGATTCTGTGTTAAAAATACTGTACATTAGGAGATCTGTGCAAAATAATATGCCCATTTACTCTCTAGACTCTATCAGGGATAGAAAGATACAAAATAGTGTTGCAAACTGAACATATCAGTAAGTGAATAAAACTGTAGTGCTAAACTATTACTCTATCATTTTACTGGGAACTTTGAAAATACGGACTAATTTGCTTCAACTTGCAACAAAAATATCTTGAAACATTCCAGTTTGTTCCCCATTTATACTGCAGCAACAGCATCTAGGAAATGAAAGTTACACGTATAGGTGGCTGTACCCACAGCCTGGAGAGGCTGTCAGCCAGCTGTACCATTTAGGAAAGGCGATACAAGGTGAGATCAGTGTTGCTCTTCCAGCGCTAACCCAATGTGGTGGTGGCCTATTTTCCATTCTGTTCAATATGAAACGGCCAATTTAAACACCATTTATTAGAAATTCAAAGTTCTCTTGATAAATCTAGAGATACTATATTCACGAAACGTGATCAAAGCCAATGTGACCTAGACATTGATTTTTCTTATCCTATGCCATCAGTTATTTCCTGTAGCATAAGCTAGGACTGGTACAATTTCACAACATACAAACATCAAAATGACATCAGATTTGTATTGGTGTTTTGCATTCCATCAGCCAACTGGGAACCATCCATGGCCTAGCCTTTGTTCACAAATTAGTAAAACAAATTTAACAACAGTGTAGCTACCATATATGTGGGTATTTGATATAAATACAGAGTGAGTTAGCAAACTATCATTGTTTGCAAGGTAGTGGCACACAAATTTCCTAAACCAGAACATAACGTAGTGTACTTGTGAGGTGTCAGATACCTTATTGACCAAGGATAATTATCTAAGTGTTCCACCAAATATGTTCTCTCTGTGAACACATTGCTGGATGATGTAAGAAAATTCAAGAATGTAAAAACAAAGTCTAAACACTATAATGAGACAAGTGTAAGAAATGCTCTGCAATCCATCATCATAGTTCAGTACATTTCAGGAAGTGCAGTTTTCATATCCTTGAGTTAATGTAGTAACTCGTTAATATTGCCATAGTTTAGTTAACCAGCAGTAGTCACATTAAATGACCAAATGGATGTAACATAGATAAAGAACATTCAAAAAACAGGTTCTACACACGTGCAGCATAGAAAAATGAAACAGTCTCAAGCTCACAAAATTAGAACTAGAAAGTTCAACGACTAACACAGATTCCAGATAACTTTAAGCAAATATCTACATCCATTCTAAAAGAAAGAATTTTCTCCTGTGGTAAACTGAAATACTTTTACCTGGCCAAAGACACCCGATTAAAATTGTTTCGTCTGTAATTGTTGGATGACAGCCAGTATAGCAAGATGCTGAATGAGCCCAATTTAGAACTACGCAGCAGCTTGCATGTTTTGGTTCCAACACTTCAAATGGCACCGAGAACTGGATAAACTCCCTGCCCTATTAGATGCAAACAATTTATTGGACTGGGGAAAGAAAGCTGAACTGTGGTATTGTCATGTTACAAAAGGGAGAATAAAATTACAGTGAATTGATTGAAAAGAACATTCATAGTGTTGTGATGTTCAGACACTTATACGGATTTTGATTGTTAAAGCTTTTCAGTTCACCTTGAAAAATACAGGAAGAGGTTTTTTTTTTTAAAGTGTAAACTGCTCATGAGAAGTTTTCACATAGAAAAAAGTTTTAGAAGTCCCAAAATCAGAACAATGGCAATAAAAAAGTAAGCTACAGTACCTAGGACTTGGGCAGTGCTCTGGCAAGGTGTCTGCAGATAGGCAGATGAAATGAAATAGAGCAAAACTGATTTCTGTGACTGCTGGAAATGAGAAATGTCTCCACTTATCAGTAGCAATTTAGTCAACAATAAAGTGCACAAATGATACAGGGAAAGCTCCTTTCCGACTGGGATCTCCATCAATATGACCAATCTGAAAGAGTCCAGATATTTTTCAGGTTACAAAGCGGCATTTCAGTATCTCCAAAATGAATACCACTGACCTTCCCACCTCTAGTACAAGCTTCTCCCTACATCTTTTCTGCAGTGGTGGCGTTTTTCTTCTGTGAACAGGAAAATGCAGTCCTACAGCATGCATTTGTTTTTTTCAGTCTACAGCTGTCTATAGATTTTTGGGGTTTTTATCCAAATTCAAATGTTTTATCCATTTTTTTGAAAGTAACACCTCATAATGCAGTACCACTGAGGCATCATTTCAGCACATTCTGTTATGCCTGACAGTCCATATTCTGTCTCTGTCAAGTTGCTTCTGTTTCCCCCTCTTAACAATCACTGGAAGGTAAAAGGATGGATCAAGCTGCAATGGTTTTGGGTTTTCCATGTATCTATTGCTGTTTATACAGCATTATTTTCAATTTAGATGCAATCTGAAGTTCTATTCTTCACTAGCTAACAGAGTAAGGCAAGTGTTCTCATGCGTAACAATTTGCCAAGACTTTGCTTTAGCTGATGAGACTCTGGAAGGTAAATAATTGAGATGGTTTCCCAGCTCAAACAGACCATTTCTCAATCTCCGTCAGCTGATGAATTGGGACAATACAAAGCTGTCTTCTGAGGCCCACCACAGAGCATCTGAAATAGTAGCAGATTCTTAAATTGTCCCCCAAGAATTTCCCGAATCACACAGACCACATCCCCTGTGTATTGTGAACCCTACTAATCAGATATTTTTTTTTTTTAATGAATAAGAAAAGCTAAAAACTTGTCTGAAGTTTGATTTCTTTGAACAAAAGAAATTTCTGGAATCAGGTTTCCCTGAGATGAAACTTCTCTTGTTATTTGGAAACCCAGCAGGGGATCTTCTGAAGTCAGTGTCAAGCTCTAGATTTCATTTATTTCTTTCAAAGTGTGTTGATATAAAATCCAAAATACTCACCCACCACTCCTGATCTTCTTCACCATCGACTACAATAATATCTCCTTCCGAAAAAGTTAGCTCATCTGGGTTATCTGCTACACAGTTGTAAATTGCCTTTACTCTCTTGGGTTTAGTTTTTGACTGAAATATAAAAAGAACTGTAAATAACACAGCATGGCAGAGACAGAACAGAATTGGAGCTGATCTAAGGAAAGCTTCAGAACTGCTTCTAACTGTTATTTTCCATAGGTTAGAGTTCAGCTACATCTTTTACGGTGGGTGCTCATGCTTCAGGCTGAATTTGTCAGCATCCAAAGCCTTTCGGAACCACTGTGCCACCAACACGGGCCAGTTTTCCCTTAGCAATCTTCCATTTTGGCTCATCCAAACCTGCAGCAGAACCTAGCAGCAGCAGAATTATCAGAAAGAGGCCCGAGCCACCTGCCAATATGACCCTCCTTAATCTGCTAAACCCATTTCAGCAGTGTACACACCGTCCGAAATGTCCTCTGCCTCTCTGCAGTGCTTTGAGGACTGCAGGCCACAGGAGTGGTTTGGCAGCTCTTCCAATAGGAAATTTTAGTAAGGAGTTGCAATATTGCGGGGGGACTCCAATCCTAGTTGTGTTCTATTTGAAGTGATGCCAAAATTGTTTTGCTCTGGTATCACAGTATCCACCATCCTAACCACAGCTCTCCCAGTGCAACCTGCCCTGCTGCTGCACTGGTTTTCAGCCTCCTCATTCTCTGTTGCAGACCAAGCATAATGCTACCTACATAGTGTTTCCATGCAAGGGTTGGAGAGACACAGGATCTGGAGGCAGAGCATAAGCTTTCTACCATGACCATGGGTCCACCCTTCTCCCTGGTTTGCCCGGCCATATCCAGCAAAAATCTCTCCTTTCTGTCCTAAGATGCCAGAGCAGAGCTGTAAGTGCCATTCAGGTGAAAAGATGTCTGTTACTGCAGTAAGTACTTGGGACAGAGGGTCCCAATGGGATAAGGAAAAGAAGGTCTTATCACCATCCTGGAGCCCCCTGGGGACTGGTCCCAGCCTCTAGTTAAGTCAGCCATGGAGCAGGAAGCTTGTTAAGGAAGAAGAGACTCCATTCACAAGTCTACTTGTCTGCACCAGCAAAATGCTTTGCTGTGGACAATACTGCCCAACAACCTCTTAATGTGCCATTTTGTTAGAGCTGAGTGCCATTTAGAAAAAGGTGATGTGGATGAGGAAGGAGGGAGGTAGCATGGTTGTTATACTCCTCTTTCAGCATCCATTTGCATTTTAGTATACAAAACCTGACCTGCCCAGCCCAGGCATACCCCCAGGCTCTATCCATGGGGCACACCCCTGTGAGCTGGCAGCCTTGCACTCCACCATGGCAATTTTGCCAGATGCTCCATCTCAGTCAAGTTACGGTTTGAACCACAACCACCTTTCAGGTCAAGAGGGAAAAGCTTCCCATCAGTGCAACAGTGACATAATTACTAACTTCAAAGAGCAGTAGTTACAGGTATTTCTTGTTACTTGGAAGGCAAGGAAATTAAAATAGATCCCATTCCCAGAAGACTAAAATCTTCCAGGAAACTTTCCCATGTATCCACAATATGCTTTCAAAAATGTAAAATATACATTGAAAAAAAAAAAAAAAAAAGATGCATCCCGAATTTCCATCTGACAAACAGGCTATTGGGCAAATGCACCATATAGGAGATAAGCCACAGGCTACATGTACAGGTACAACCAGAACTCTTTTTTTCTTTACTCAAGGAGCACTTCTGCAATCATTTCCTAGATCTGGGCTGGCCTCTGGATTCTCTGTCAGGGTAAAGACATAGCAAAAGAGGCTGGAGTATAAGGGTAAATTGAGTGATTTAGCCAAAGCACTTTAGCTAGGCTGATCTAGCTAAAGCTCTTTAGCTGAGGGGCCCTTGACTAAATCTCAGCTAAGATGCTTTAGATAGATTGATTTAGCTAAAGCACCTTAACTAGCACAAACCCCCTGAGACAGGTTTCCCTGACTTCTCTGTCCTATGACAGAAGAAAATAATCCAGCTCATTTTCTAATTCGCACAAAATTCACCCTGCTGGAGCCCTAGGGACATCTGGAGAGTCAGATTTGTTCTTTATATTATATGCAATTAATATTAAAACCGTGGAGACACCGACTGTTCCATGAAAACAGCCAGGACAGCCCATTCACTCATACCTAAGCAAACTGTCTCATAAAACAAAAAAGGAGAGAACAAGATAGAGAACTACTACAACTTTAATTTATACAGAAAGCCAGGTAAGAAGCTGTTTCAAAACGAACGGCTACGTTGAAAGGATGCAGCCAGTGCTCACACCTGAACCCCAGATCACACAACAGAAATTTTAATCAGGGTCCAAAGTAAATATGGCAGTTCCCTTGTGTTGTGGTTTTGAACCTGGCTGGGATCAAACACCAGCAGCTGCTTGCTCAACACCCCCACCACAATGGGGGAGAGAATTAAAGGGATAAAGGGAAAAGAGACTAGTGACTTAAGAACAATTTAATAACTAAACTACAACAAAACTGAAAATAATAACAGTAATAATAGTTCATATATACAAATGAGTGATACACAGTGAAACTGCTCACCACCAAACGACCAAAGCTCAGCCCGTTCTTGGCCAACGATCCTGTAATAGGGAGAGTCCTGAAACCACAATCCCGGAAAAGAGATAAAAGCCCGAGTGTCTGAGATCAAGCGCCAACCAAGAGAGTGAGATGACTCTGAGAGAGAGAAAAAACTCTGCACGGAGCCTCACCTATATCCTGGGCATGCCGTGCATGATCTGCAATATACCACAGGCCAATCTGGGTCTCAGTCCTAAACCTAAGGTCCAATCCTAGGCTAGTAATTGGGGCTGTGCTCCCTCCCAGCTTCTCCTGCACCTGCAGACACTGGCACAGCAGAGAAGCAGAGAAGTCCTTGACTGTCCTGGCAGCAACTATAAACATCAGTATGTCATCAGCCTTCTCCTCAGCACAAATCCAAAACAGGCTCACACTAGCTACTATGAAGAAAGTTAACTCTGTCCCAGCTGAAACCAGGGCACCTCAATGCAGGTAAGCAAAAGGGATTGTTATTCCATTTTACCCTAATCTGACCATTTAATTTTACTGTGGCTTAAAACATGAAAGTTATTTTGATGCAAGACAGCAGTAACTTGGTTGAATAAGAATGGGGGAGGCAAGAAAACAGAATATTTTATACTCCAAACAAATGCAAGATGAACTCCAGATGTCTGTGGCTTTTCAGCATTATCAGATGAGAAACAGCTAACAGGTGTTCTAAGAGCTCAAGAAAAACGTGCACACAAACATAGTAAAGTCTGTCCTGAAGAGTCACTATTTCAATAGACATGGTTAAGGAAAAATGGATGAAGGGAGAGACACAGAGGACTGAAGAAGGCAGGTCTTTTCTTTACAGCCCATTAATAAGACAATTGCAGAGCCAGGAACAGCACATCTCCTACCTCCCTCCAGAATATGAAGCATGAAACAGCCCAGATCTAGTCACATACAGCATCTCAGAAAGTATGGACTCTCTACACTGTGATTTCCTTACTGCAGAGAAATACTGTCATGGTCAAGCACATGGATGTTTTATGTCTACCACACAAGACAGAAACATGAAATTGGAGGAAGGACCAAAGACCTAGCTGAACTACATTATCATGTAACATCTAAACTGACCGCTGGAAATATATCCCTTTACCTACACCAGTATAAGAATACAGGTAGTGACACTAACGTGTGTTACCATTCATGGTCCTAGATTATAAATAATAAGTAAGAGTATAAAAAGGCCACACAAACAGACCAAGAGTCCATCTAAATCTAGTACATCTTTTCTAACAGTCATGGTAAGGCTGGGGAAGAGGAATATACACTACTTCCAGCCCAACACTTCCAGTCTTCACCCACCTTCTAGTTGGGGATGTCTCAAGTCAGATGTGGTTTCTGTGTATTTATCAAGGTATTTCTCTCCTGTCATCCAGTGAATGCATGACAAACAGATGCAAAGAGAACCAACTGCACAAAGAAGCAATTTCTTTTGTTTTGAGCTTGACTCTTATTAGTCTTGTCTGAAGTCATCTGATCTACCTATATGAACAACTATATCTACTTCCATTACAAAAGTAAGCACAAAAGCTGCCTTATTACTTACTTCACTGACGTTTGAGAATGAAGTCACATATTATCTACAAGTGACTCACTTATCAGCTTACCTACCTACAATATGTCAAACCATATATTCTGTGGATTGTGTTGGTCACATTTGGACACAAGCAAAGAATCCATGCTTTTCTTTGGTTTCATTTTGGGTTTTGTTGGTTGTTTTTTTTAAAATTTAAAGTCACATACTATCATACAGGAAATGCAAGAAAAGTGAAGTTTTCATAAATATTTAGTACAAGTCACGTACATATTTAAGACAGGATACAGGCTTTGTGTTATTCATGATACTCACACTTTCACCATAACAGGATACACTATTATGTCAACAGCATGTTTGATAGAATGCAGAAGATTTAATAAAATAAAAACCCAAATTGTCTACTTACTATCTGTGATTTCCTTGGCATTGGTGCTGGTGGCTGGATCTGTGGCAAAGTATTTGCTGTAGAACCAGTTTGTGTTACTGGTATTTCACATACAGAAGATGACTCTCCTGCTGCTAAGGTAAGTAAAACAAGCAAATTTTAGGCATGCTTGAAAAAAAAGTAAGAGTGATGATACAAATTGAAACCAAATTAGTTATTCTTTAAAGGATACCAATAATTTTATATCCCATGAGTACTTCATGTTTTAATGGTTCTTTCTAAATAACGGAACAGAATTTTTCTATCCTTTTCCTTACCAAAAAAAGCCTCTTTTCCCAAAGACAATTACCTAAGACCTTTAATACTGCAGATACGCTAAAAGAGAAAAAAGCCTATAAAATAGGTGAGAGCAGAACCAAATATCCCATTTGCCCATTTGTTCACTACAGACTGTGTGCTTTTAGAACCCTTCTTTCCTAGCAAAGACCATCATTATCAAGATGCTGTATCCTTCACAGCAGACTGCTGACACAGATGGCAGATAGTCATTAGCAAATTTGCCTTGGGTATGGCAAGGGGAAGTAAAAAAGAATCACAGTAAGAAACAATGAACATAATACATACACTAGAAGGGGAAACTGGGTAGGAGGAATTCCACTACAACTACCACAGAACCCTCACAAACTTTACTTTGGACATTTTATTGAGATGACATTATTGTAATGTCCCAAAGTAGCAGAATGAATAATGAACTCTGAATAATGAATTTTGTTCATTATCATGAAAAGAGAAATATCAATTTGCAATTTAATTAGAAGTGACACTATGAGCTTTAGATTTTCAAACTAGAAACACATTTTTCTATCCTAAAATGTGCATCTGTCACCTTGTTTATGACACATGCAAACAAGAGAGTAAACTAACTAAAGTTTTCATAATGCATCCTTTGTTTAAATAGGGTTTAGGTGAGGTTAGTTAAGCTAAAGCCCAATGGGAACTGAATCTGGCAAGGGATGTCAAAGACAACAAGAAGGGCTTCTGTAAATACCCAGGTAACAAAAGGAAAATGAGAGGAACATGGGCCACTGCTCAAAGAGATGGGGGATCCGGTTACACAAGACATAGAAAAAGGCTGAGATATTGAATGGCTTCTTTGCCTCAGCCTTTACTAGCAAGATTGGTCTTCAGGAATCCCAGGTCCCAGAGACCAGGGGAAAATCTGGAGCATGGAAGTGCAAAGACCTGCACCTGGGAATGAACAAGCCCATGCACCAACATATGCTGGTGGCCACCCAGCTGGAAAGCAGGATCAGAGGCAATGGGAACAAACTAAAACACAAGAGGTGCCACATGAACATCAGGAAACACCTTATTACTGTGAGAGTGACTGAACACTGGCACAGGTTGCCCAGGGAAGCTGTGAGGTCTCCTTGGAGATACTCAAAAGCCATCTGGATGTGGTCTTGGGCAACTGGCTCTGAGTGGCCCTGCTTGAGCAAAAGGAGTGGGCCAGATAACCTCCAGTGGTCCCTCTCAGACTCAACCATTCTGTGATTCTGTTTCTTATTACTTGGCCCCATTATTTACATAAATTGGCCCATAATTCTGTTCATGCAGAAGAGCTTAAGGGATGAGGGCCTACACAATCAAGAAGAGAAACAACAAGAATGCTGGTACTGACTGTATTTAAATGTGTAAAAAAACCCCGCTTTCCCTTAAACTGTTATAATGATAGCTTAATTGCAACCAAACAAATCTCTAAACCACAATTACCAGTTTGTTGTAGAGACCCAAGTCCTCTGGACTGCCCTTTGTTAGTTAAGCCAGATGACTTCTCAGCCCTGTGCAGACAGTTAGAAATACATCCATTTAAAAAACAAACAAGAACTTGAACTGCAACAATACAGAGTATTTTCCAAATTATAAAATTCTTGTCATGTCTTCATGGCAAGTATATACTGGTGACAGCTATTTTGCTTTTAAAAATACTACTTTGCTCCCATATTTTTTATTACACCAATCGTAAGTTGTACTTAATACAAAAATGTATAGCAGAAGAATAGGTTCAGTTACTGCAATTTGTGTAGGACAGATTTTATTTTCCTAGGTTCTGAAGTTCCTTTCACTGCTATTTTAAAATTCTTTATTAAAATTATGTATCCATATTAGTCTGTACATTATAGCAGGCTTCAGCAAGCTGCTTCTCCCTTTTACTTAGTATGGTATATGCATATATATGTATCCCTCCTCAAAGGGAGCTCAAAGGTTGGTTACCTCTTTCATTCACAAAGGATCAATCATGTATATTATTTATCTCACATATACACATACACGTCCCTGTATCTTATAACTATCTAAGCTTGTATAGGCTGTACTCCACCCATTTTTCAGTGTCAGAGAATCCAAAAACTTCCCAGACAAGTTGTAGGATATTTCCCTATGCTTATCTTTGGAAAGCTTTCCCGAGTGTCTAACTAAATTATTCTTGCCACAACTTGAACGAAGTCTTCTTGTTTAGAGCCATCATGAGATGTAAAAAGGAATGGCATAATCCAACACCCTGTACATATTTGATGTACACATATACACATATGTGCATTGATGCTACAATTTATTAAAAAAAAAAGAGAATCTTATTTCTTCCAAACTTTTCTCACAGGTCACAATCTCTACACTTCTCATTGATCCCCCCTTGCTATTCTGTATCTTTATTTTACTGCAATACCCAAAACTGACCACAGTAGTCCAGCTGATGCATTACTGATGTTGAGCCAATTGGAAGGATTAATTCATACAGTTTGGAGGCTATAATAAAGCAATACTATTTTTCTTTGACTCTTACACAATAGCATGAGTTGTCTGACTTACTTTTTATTTATGATTCACTACGTCCTTGCAGATCCTTCTCTTAAGGACTTTTGCTCAACCATAATCTGCTGTTCTCCATGCCTTGTTTTTGGTAGTTGATTGTTCTTAAGTACTACGTATTGCTTACTGAATGACACCCCTCCTCTCCCTCGACTACTACTCCATTTTCTCAAGGCTGCTTTGGATATAATCCTGTTTTCCAGTACACTTGTTCCTCTTATCTTTGTTTCCTGCAAATTTAAAAATTATACTTTCTGTTCCAGGTCTCTCTACTCCTACCATGAATAAAAAGATTGAATGGAACTGAACCTAGGCAAATCATGTGAACAATAAACGGCACAATCGCATATAGGATCCCATTATTTCTTCTCTGTTATTAGATGAGAATTAGAAATGAATTATTCTTTATGGCTGCTTATTTCCATCACAGCTAAGCATTCTGTAGATATTCTGCAAGTCATACAATCTTAACTCACTAAGGCCGTCTTGTTTTTACTATGGGAATCCTTGTCATCTGCTCCCTTAGTGTCTGCCTTCTGTTCATTCACATACTCTAGAACACATCATTGGCAAAACTATGCATGCTTTATAGATGACTTGCATGTTATATACCATAAAATAGAAAAGTTTCTAATAATTATGCAGTATACTAAATACTAAATAAAATGACATCAGTTACCCAGGAATAGGCTTTCTTTGAGAGATTCTACTAGGGGGTTGTGGGGGCAGTGGTGGTGGGGTTGGCTTAGTCTGTGGAGGAGCTGGTTGCTGTTTAGATTGCTGGTTCAAAGCTTCTATAATGCTGGCTGTCTTTGCCACTGGAGGCGGTGGTGCTGGAGAAAGCACATCTATAGAGGAAAGTTAGACAGTGAAATGGAATTAAATTTCTGTTTACTGTATTGTTTCTTGGGTCCCCATCCACAAGTTTTCCTGTTACAGGATATACCCCCATCCAAGAAAAAAGCTTTACTACATGTAATCAATAACTTAAACAGAAAGCAATCCTTCCATTGGAAGGAGGACCTCTTTGTAAAGAGGTTTACTTTTGTTTCACCTAGTTAAGGTCAGAGAGCTCACAAGTACTTCAATTCACTCAAGTATTAAAGTACAAGCAAAGAAAATTCTTACCAAAGTCAGTCACCTTCTTGAAAACAGTAGATCAGAATATATGTAACAAAGTGCTAATACTGCTTACTTAATCAAGGCCTTCAGTTTATGTTTTATGGAAAAGTAACTGACTGAATAATATCTGAAAAATTTTATTTAGAGGAATGTCTTTTCTTAAAATTCTGTTACAATTAACAACTAAGTTCACATTAGGTTTAGCAACTATGTAAAATTTCTATTGAATTCCTGAAACCACCACAACAGCAGCTGGCAATGCATTAAAACATCCTTTGGCATTACTACGGTCTGCAAGGATCAAGCACAATGTGGAGACATAGCCTCAGGTCTACATGTAACACTCATCTTTACAGCTAGCGAGAAATGCAGCACCAAAACTATACATAAAAGTGAAGAGCTCTTTAGCTCTAGTAATAGATAGTTTTTCCTGGTAACTCTGCACTACACTGTACAGTTCTCACTGGAACATCAGAGTAGACAGTTCATACAAAGTTACCGGATGGGAACGATAGGCCAAAGCTACAGTCACCAAAAGAAGTATGAGTTGTGGAAATGGAGAAATAAGCCAACTATGATTAGATACAGCAGAAGGGAAAACAGGGGAAAGTGGAAACATACTTGTAGATGTTACACGCAATGGCGGCACAGGGGGATGAATAGCTGGTGGATCTGATGAAGACCTCTGCCTGCTTATACTTTCCACTCCTAAAGAATTTGTCTTCCACATTGCATTAGATGAAGAAATTGTCTGAATACCACTGCCAAGAACTGAAGGCTGAACTAAAAAGAGAGGAAAATACTGTATTATTATTATTGCTTACCCTAAGCACAAAGTGTTAATATTCACACCCGTGCTTTTAAAAATAGTGCAGCTAGATCACTATATTCAGCAACAGGAACCGCTGCTGCCATCCTGCTGGAATACCAGAGCAGGAACCAGAGTCTGGTGTAAAAAATTACATAAGTTTCTGGGTGAAATCTTGCTAACACTTTAACAAAGTAAAATTTGTCTCCAGTCATTACTTTAAAATATATCAACACTTGAAGAATCAGAAATATCTCAACAAGAAGACAGAAGGCAAGTCTTGCTACCGTCTTTAATCCCTGACTGATAGCTGTAATCTTCTCAGGTACTGCAAGAAAAGGACCTCACTCTCACGTGAGCATTAGCAGACATTGCTGTGTCAAAGTGAAACATCAGTTTTGACTTGGAAATTACATAAAACCATAAATCAGAATTTCACCCAAACAAGAAGCTATAATAACTAGTCATGAAACAGTTACAATGTATGACTTCTTCAGGGTCTCCCAAATGACTCCATTCTTAGGCTGAAGAGCTGCCTCCCCATTCCATAAAAAGACACTACAGGTTTTCTTCATAAAGCCAGTATTTTGCACCTATCATCCCACTTCTCCCTACTCAGCACATGAGCATCACATTAAGAAAAGATGAAACAGAGTAAGGTATGAATAAATATTAGGTTGCAGAGAAAAGCATAAAAGGTTCAGAGGACTTGGAGAACAGCCTAAAGCTAAGAGGATAAAGGAGCAATAATTCAGCATAACCATAACATAAACAACATCATGAATCAACAAAAAACTAGGATCAATGATACTATTACAGCTTTTAACTAGGAACATAAAATAATAGTCTAACACATTGCTAGAGTAAAGAATACGAGCTATAATCTAAGCCAGGCAGCATGCTTTCTTGGTGTGAGTTACACTATACTGGTGCCAAGAAGTCTGGGGTTGGGAATGAAATTAAAATGACACTCTTTAAAAAGTGTCATTTAATCAAGGGCAAACAGTGGGTAAAATAGTATGGTTGGCCACAGTTAAAATAATATCAAAGGGTAAACCAGTCTTTTTAACTATCCAATTGTATTACTAATTTAGAGATAGAATCTAACAGTTAAACAGACTACACAAGCTCCTTGGGTGAATTTTCCTGTTTGGTGGGGGAAACATTCCTTCCCATCAAGTAAAAAAAGTGTCTAGATATTAAGTTTAGACTTCATGCAAAAATGCTAGATGAAAGGAATCCTGCTTTGGTTAAGTTTCATATGCTGCTAAACTTCCTTCAGTTGCATGCTACCTTTTTGAAATAACCCAATTCCTTCTTCCATTGCTCTCAGTTTTTCTGCCCCCCAAAAACCATATTTTAATCCAACTTCTATGCTGCAGACATTCTTGTGAGACCAATAACTGACTTTTCATCTTACACAGACGTTCAATTTGCCATCTCAGACACAATCACTGGTGCATGGAGTCTTTCATTCTGACCTCTGCACAGTGGTGCCAAAGGCAGAAGCCACTCACCTATGCCTAGAACATTCCCTGCTTGTATCTCCTCTTACGGAGTCCGAATTAGAGCACCATTGAAAACCGTGTGTTTACACAGTCATTTTTCTTGAATTGAACTTTACATAAATTTAGCATGAAGGTAAGAATGAAGTTCACAGCATCAGCTTTAATGGTAGATTTTGCAAGCACACAACCCTTCTGAACCAGGATAAGACATGTACATTTCTCATTGTTCTGCTGATCAGGGTATAACCAGTAACTGGCAGTTACATTTTCAGTCAGCTACGAGTTATCTTAAGTCATCCAGTTCTGTTTATAAGTTCATGACACACTTTTATTTCAACAACCTTGAAGCCTATATTTAAGAAAAGACTGCGAGGTCAAAATTTCTCTTATTCTTTATACGCTTCTAGATTCTCCCAGGTCTTAAGCAATTTTTCACAGCAGACAAATACTACTGAAATTGTATATTTGAATTGAACTCTGGCAATGGTATCTTCAAGAATCAGAAATACAGAAAGATGGAATGTAATAAGAAAAAAAATTGCTGAACTAAATTGACTGCAGCCCTTCTTTTAATGAATTGTTTAACTCTGTTGAGGTTACATGTGCAGTGTTTTTCCAAATGCTATTGTGTACCTTCTTGCAGGTATGTTGAAAACCAAATTCAGAATAGTTGCGTAGATTCACTTCAACTATATAAAATGAAGTCATCAAGAAACTGTCCCAGTACTTACCTGTGCAAAAGAACTGTAAAAGAAAATCTAAAAATGTAATAATAAAAAAACGTTACAATCCCATTCTTCTGACATACGATATTTTCAGCTGTTAGTACCTTTGCCAATATTCCTTGGAGGTAAAGGAGGTGCACTACTTGTAACAGGTACTGCAGGCTGAATGGGAGGTGGGCTGCCACTGAGTATTGCTCCGTATGTTTCATTCTGTAATATACTTGGCATAAATCCTCTTTGCTTATCCTTAGCAATGTTCGCTGCATCTCTTGCCAAGGATGCTACATTAGGCTGAAGCTGGTTTGATCCAAGTTGATAGAAGCTGACAGGCCTGTCCTCTCTCCGATTGGGACTGGGTTGCTTAAACACAACAACAAAAGTATTCACTGACACCGCATTAGTTGCGCTCCTTTTATTTATTAGTTGATAGAAAGTTATTAAGTTTCTAGAAAGAAAAAATGGCTTCTAAAATGCATTTTTGTTGCATTTAATATGTATTCTAAAACCTACATTCTGCCCTCTTCAAGACAAAGTCACTGTGCGCATTAACAAGAAAAAAAGCTTCAATGTGAATTGCATTCCACAACAGTTACCGTTTTCTCTTTTTCTCCTGTAGTATACTCTTATAGGATAATACTGTATCCTTACATACACAGGTATGTACTCCTACACATAGTCAATATAGATACTCAGACTGGACCAAGTGAAGTTTCCCTGCATGAAAATACTGGACAATATTTTCAAAAGTAAATAAACAACTGAAGATACTAAGCCTCATCTCAAGTTCATCAGCGTTAGATACCAAATAGATTATCATGATCTCAAAAACCAATCTCAAAAATTGCATCCAAGTATTCTACTTGTAGCTCAGCCTGCAACAAATTAGGAGCCAAAACTTTTCATGAACTCTTTTTAGCTCACTAATATCACTGGACAAGTTTGGGAGATTACTTCAATTGGCAGCTGGGATGGAACATTGCTCATCCCATGCACATTATCAAATGAGATCTAATTAGTTGCCTTTGAGAATTCCAGCAAATCATCTGCTTGCTATGCACACTTAGCATTATTTTTCCTGTTTCAACAGCAAGCATAGTAATTATTGTTATCAAATGATAATTAAAATAGCTGGAGTTATACATTCATGTGGATAGTACAGGAATGGGTTTAAACAATCCACAGCTCAGAGAGCATAAATATGCCTTTGGAAACAGCATTAGATAAACACGCTGCTGACCTACTGTTTGTATGAAATTAAAACAACCATTTATCTAGGAAGAACAAAGATTTACACCAACAGTATCATAAACAAGCAATCGATTTTCCTCTGAATATATTAAATGCTTACTCTGGATTGATCACGTAAGGCCTTTAGACGTGTTATAGCACAGCATTATAGTTCAAAGATTTATCAGAATGATGTACGTGACAGCCAGATGCATTAATCCCTACCTTTACTTGCCTTAGCAGCCTCACTCCTCACTGGCTGACACTCTCCATTTCCTGATCTCTCCACTCTCCTGGTTCTGGTATTTATTTCAGCCCACACTTGCTTCTGCTTTCTAAACCACCAGAAAATTCTTTTTTTATTTTGTTGATTTAGCTTTTCACTGGTTTACCAAACTGAAACAGCTCAATACAAGTACAAATGTAGCCAGGATGGAGACAAAAGATGAGGCAGGATCAGGCACCCAGGGTACGGAACAGCAGCAGAACCCAGTTGGATTGTCTTAGCCTTCTTTGAGGTTAGACTCTCTCTTATTTGAAATTGTGGACTAAAAGAACTTCAATTTCAGATACGACCTTTTCTGACAGATTACAAAAATCTATTCAACTGCTTTACCAGAAAGAGAAACAAGCCCAATAGCTTGGCATCCATAAACAGAACTCTGTGATCCTAAGCAACAGTAGTATTCACCACTGCATTCAATGTAGTCACAGAGACTAGTCTGTGATTAATAGTCCTTAATCTCCTTTCAAAAGTCCCTGGAGTATAAGCCTATTAATAGTGGGCAGTGAACTAGCAGTTTCATTACTTCAGCCTCTTTGCTGAGCAGCAGACAACTTCCGATACGAGGTGGAGCCCAGGGACTAGCCAAAAAGAGAATGCTCAACCGCAGAAGGCAACCGGCAACAATGAAGAAATGAGGGGAAAAAAGATCAAAAATACAAATTTAGAGTGCCCCAGAAAGGGATTTGCTAGGTATCTAGTTATAAAGTGCCCAAAAGGTTTTACAGCTGGAAAAAATGAAATCTCTAAAACATAACAGAAAGTTTCAAGCTGCTTTATCAAAAAGATCATCATCACTGCTGTTACTATGCAGATGGTGATACAATATATAGGAATACATAAATACTGGGATATAATATGAAAGCTCACCCAGAACAACTGGATTTAACAGCTCACAGATTCCAGATCCTTGCACAGATACCAAAATACTCAAGAAGAATCTAAAGAAAATTCTCAGAAGGTAGCAACTGTGCTTTGAAAGCGATGGCTTGTGACACACTATTTGCTCTTTGTTGCTAACTCTAGTTCAAATCAAGCACCAGAAGCAACAGCTATCTTGGAGTAAAGACACAGGACATGGGGAGAAGAATCCTATTCAGACAAGATCTTGCAAAAATGGTATTTTGCAACAGAGGAAACTTAATTATGTAAAAATTAGTCTCCAAAACATTAAGCCAATTCAACAGTCTGATGACCTAGCATTGTTTTAGACTTCCTGTGAAGGCAAAGAAAATGAACCTATGACTGTCAAGTTTTAATATGTCTGAAAACAAAGAAAAACCTGAAACAAAAAGATTTGGTTTTATGTTATTAATTAAGTATTAGCAATTCATTTCCTAGCTGAGATGGGGGACTTTTCAAGAGAAGCATTGAAATGCTAAAACTTACACAAAGAAAAGAGTCAAATTTCATCATCCAGAGGAGAAAGCATTTTTGTTAGTTACTTCCAAGACAAAAAATGTTGTGCTAACACCTGAAGATTAACTAACATAAAGCCTGCTGTGTATTCCTTGCACTTTATAAAGGAAGCAGAAAAGGCATAAACAATTATAACACGACACCCACCCTAAAAGAAGAAAAACAGGTGTTCAATACTTAAATGAAATACTTCAAATTATGAATGTTTCAGAATGTCATTAGTATTTTAGGAGCTTATACATAATTTCAAAATACTTGGCCCCTATAAATCCAAGCCATTTTAAAGTGTTGTTCAGGTATCAAAACATGGTAGTTTGTTCCCTGCCTGTATGTTTAGGTGCTTAAATACTTTTTGAAGTTGGTCCCCCAACTGTGAAATTAAATTTTGAAAATGCAAGTTCCTATGTTACTGTAATACTTTGTAATACTTGTAATGTGACCATCCTGGGAGACAATGAAAAGCCATCTGGACACGGTCCTGGGCAACTGGCTCTAGGTGACCCTGCTTTAGCAGGAGGTTTGGAACAGATGCCCTCCAAAAGTCCCTTCCAACCTCAACCATTCCGTGATTCTGGACCAAACAGCATCTGAAATTTCAGGTATGAAAAAGGAGAAAACCAAAAATATTTTTTTTCCTGAAGATACAGAATTAAGACCCTACCCTGATATTAACGGGCGCGGCTTATTTAATGCACAGGTTGAGTTCCACTGAAGACAAGCCAACGCATAAACTGTTCTAACACTAAAGCCATCAACTGAAGCTGTTTCACAAACCTGAGGAGATACTACATCATACCTCTCTTTGTAAAGGCAATTTTCCCAGCTCATGTTAGTTCTGCTTAACGATCAGCAGATCCAAACACTCCTGATGCACTGAAACAAACTATTAGCTCCATTAAGAGAAAGAATTTAATTGTCACCCCATGGTCATATGTTTTCTACCTTATATTAAAGAGGAAAAAAGAAGACAAACTATAATTTAAGGAACTAAAATTTAAGCTTCTACATTTTACTACAGAACTTTAATTCACAGTGTCTTCATACCTATAGTAAAAAGTAGTGTTATTTAAATAATTATGAACATCTTGCTTACACAGGCACATGTACAGAAAAATGATGTATTGATACAAACCTGCAGCTTTTCATCCACATCATCATCACTTTCATCCAGATCTTCGTGGAGTAATCGCCATTCATATTCTACATGAACATGAGAATTAAATCTTCCGGACAGTGCTTGAGTAAGCTAAGGAAAAAAAGATGACTGTTACATGCAGTACTTACTTTAAAACAACATATTTAAAAACAAACAAAAACCGCATCTATAAGAGACTTTGGTTTCTAAGTACAAACATTACTTTTATGTTAAAAACAGACTTCAGTAGTCTGGAAAGTTACTGCACTGGGGTAAGTTTAAAGAATTCAGCTTTGTGACCAAACACAACACAAACAAATCAAAAGCAATTAGCCTTTTCATTAACCATTGCAGGTCCATTCTCCACTTTTTGACAATAAGCACCATATCCTATTTGCTTTGATTTAGAAATTGCAAGTCAAAGACATTAACTGCAATGGCAGGTTTTTTGAATCAGACTCACTTATCAAGAAGCCTTGACCCCTCTACTCCATTCTTCTTGCTTACTAAAAGCAGTGATGGTAGCCAGATTCTCTTCATAGAATCACAGAATGGTTGGAAAGGACCTTTAGAGATCATCTAGTCCACCCCCCTTCCACAGGCAGGGACACGTTCCACTACATCAAAGTCTTATCCAACCTGACACTGAACACTTCCAATGATGGGCTATACACAACTTCTCTAGGCAACAAAAGAACGGCCTTCACCCATGGCCTTCACCCACAAAAAGTACTTTAGTAATTAGATTTCAATAGACACTCATGGATCTGGGACTAATAGCTGAAACAGAATCATCCCCTGCACCAAGAAGTTTAGCATTTCCAAAGCATCTAAAAAGAAATATCATTTTCTTCTTAAAAATATATAACTTGATATAAGCATATAACTATTTCTAAGCATACAACTATTCCATCTGGAATATATTAGTTGAATATTACAACTGTAAACTGTTAAATATTCAGACATGATTCTGCTTAGAAATGCACAAACACACAGAAAGACGTAACACTTACCAACTCTTCACAGTGAGTATGTTTTAAGCGTTTAGCTATATCAAGTGGCGTCTCTCCTGATTCATTAGCTATATTATACCAAGAAAATAAAGTTATGATAGGTGTCACTATTAACGTGGCCATTACTAAATATAAAGACAAACCTGCAGGTACATAGCAAAGTACTAGACCAACACACTCTAAAATTCATCTCTTTCCTTCATATGTAGGTCCAACTCCTACCATCTCCTACGGCATGGAGATGGCATGCCATATATATTGAATGATTGCCATGAATGGCAATATATAACTAAGCAACAAGATATCAGTTGAAATCTTTGTACTTACTTATCTAAATTTAAAAGGCAAATGTAATGTATAAATTCATTTTAAACTTGAAATAAACAGTGAATATTGGGGGTTTTTTTTGGTAATGAAGATTATATTTACAGAATTATGATAAAACAAATGAGCAGAAAATGAAGTTATTCCACCTTCATTGTTTCTTATCTGAAGCAGTGACAAATATGAAATTGAAGTACACGTTACCCTTTTACCTATTTCAATAGAAGCCTTCCCTCTCAGCAGCAGTTTGAGGCACTCAACATTGTCCGTCAGACAGCAGTAATGCAGGGCTGTGCTACCTTTACATGTTTGCTTATCTAGATTGCCACTATTGGAGTACAAGAAAGAAGAAGAAAGCGATTAAACTTAGTTTCCTACTCTATATTAATAAACCTCTCTCATTACATGATTTTCAAAGAATAAAATTACATTTGCAAATACTAGAATTAGCTTTAATATTTGTTTTCATTTAGCATATGTATTACCTGACATAAAAGCAGTATCAATAACATTTTAATAGCTTTCCATACACTTACCTATTCTGCACTAAAAAGTCAACTATATGAAGGGATGTTCGATCAACTGACCTAACAGCAAGGTGAAGTGCTGTTTCATCTTGCTCCTAAGAATAAAATAAAAGAACACATTCGTTTCTTCTGATCTACAGAGAAGCAGAAATTTTATTAAGACATAAATTAGATCAAAAAAATGTTTCAATTTCAAAATATTCAGACATGCTACCATTAAAACATTTCTTGTGAAGACATTTATTGCTTCTTTTTTGTTCCTTTAAAGTAAAAAAAGAAATGGGTTGAAAACAAATACATTATTGAATGATTTAATGTTTAATGTTTTAACACATTTAAAATATGACAGCATTTAGAAACAATTTTAGATTAAACTATTTAATATCTTCTTTTGTTATTGTTAAATTACATCATTAAAAGGCCAAGTGTTCAGACCAGTGTTTCAAATCTTATCTTCAAATAAGAAAAAATAGTCCTTTTTAATTAATGAAAGCATATTGCACTTATAACAATCTGTCTAACAAAATTTACAACACTTACATGGCCATTGGCCAGTGGAATTTTTTCTGTGAGATCCACACCATCAGCATATACTTGGACTAATCCAAGAATGTCTCTTGATTTGACTGCTTCACAAAGAGCATGCAATTTAGCTGCATTGTCAGCATGCTTTTTCCTTGCATATTTTCTCTCAATATACTTGGCAGTAATATAATCTTTTCGTGCATTCCTGAAATTGAATATAATTTACTTCTATAACTTTTAGCAGAAGACACACATTAGAATTTCCATAAATACATGCAAGTAATTTGAAATAAAATCTGGGAAAGACTATTTCTCATTTATTATGATAATTTTTATTTTTAAATATGCATGTAAGACATACAGTCTCGTATTTCCAGTATGAAATGTAGCTTCAGAAGATGATTCAAATATCCAATATGAAGACAGACAATGAATTTCCCCCCCGAACTCTGGTGTGAAGTTGAGACCAAGATTACCCAGCTCTAGGTACAGGACATACATCAAAGCTTCATAATGCTGGTTTGCTAACAGTAGCCTTCCAGGTTTATGTTTACCTGACTTGTACTCTACTTGTATGCTATTGATTTAGCATTCAGTAAAATTATTAGTAATTTTAACTATTAATATTAATATTCTGTATTAATAGTGGTAGTAAAAAATTATTTACACTGCTTGGTTTAACATTAGTTCTGTCAGAATGGTGAAAGTCCAGATAATGCAAAATCAGCTTTACCCAAAGCCCGTTCTGAGTTTTTTCTGTATCATTTACTAGCTTTTTTACGACAGAGTAGTATCCAACCAAGTAGGTAGGTAGCTGTCCTGCCATTACAGTTGAGTGTTTTCAATGAATTCAATTCAATGTTCTGTCTTTATTCCACATAGTTATGGACTTAGGCTGTAGGTGTAGTTTCTAAATGCCAGGTGTTCAGTATCTTTCAGGTAAAAAGTATACCTTATTCCAACTTCTATTTTGTGTTTAAATAGCACAAAATTAATAGCTTTGTTTTTTAATCCCAACTCTCATGTGTCTTTAAAATTCCCAACAAGTCATGTTTAATATGTTTCTGTCCCACAAATCACGATTCAGAGAGTTGGTAAAATAATCCTTACTATTAGGGAAGGTACAATCAGATAAAGTTCAATAACACAGACATGCAAAGCATCAGAAAAAAGGTTTACTTCTTGGCTATAAGGCTATATGTAAGACATTATACACCTTCCATGGCCTGCTGTTGCAAACCATAATGCCATAACCCATTAGCAATATTAAATTAAATGCCCGCTTTTTTTCATAAGTAGTGTCTCTTTACTTACATATCGCTGCTAGGATTAGGTTTGACCATCTCATCAACTGGCAGACAGAATTCCATAATCTCATTAAACCCAGCATTCCCGATATTCTTTGCAAGCTGTTAAAAAAAAATAATCCACAGCTCAGTTAATAAACATGGTCAGTTACTGGACACGCACATACTAGTGGGAGAACAGGGGAAAATGGGAACTGGGAAGTCAGTTTTCAGCTGGGATTTAATACACAAACACATAACTGCAGAATAATCCATCAAGACCCCTGTTCATAGGATAAACGCAAAATACTTTGTGCTGCGAAAGAACACCATATGAACTGTCACAGAGCAGCTGAGATGTGGTAACTTCTCTGTGTAGCAAAGCTGAATACATTTTCTTCCTTTGAGGATTAAAGTTCTCTTCTGAAATAATACTAAATAATTAATGAGATAAGTATTTTTGAAGTCCTTCAATTTTTAATCTGAGAGGCACATTTGTATGTCAAACAGCTGTGTTCTTTTAAAACGCAATCAAGGGTAAAAAGACTTGGAAACAAAAAATATAAAGCCTCTAATAATTTGAATTCTAAGATCAGGCAAATTTTACAGTAAGACACTATGTTCCAGGAGGCTCTCTTAAACTCGAAGAATTAAGCTTTCTTAAATTATGTTTATCCAGATGCAACTTTCAGAATCGGAACAACATATCATTAAAGTGACAAAACGATACTTGTATTGGAAGTATTTTATAGTACTATTTTTAAGTTAATAAAAGCAATTTCATTACCAAAAGTTCAGATGTTCCCAGCACATCTAATGTCAGTGATTGCATTCTGGAATAGTGAACACCAAGTTCTCTGTGGATTCCTGAGCATTCAATGCAAGTTAGAATTCCCAAATTTGTTGAAAGCCACGTAGGATCTGAAACAGAAAGCGCTCCCAGAATTAAAATTAATTCAGATAATTATTTCATTCTACAAAATGTAGTATACAGAAATTAAATTCTGTAAAATAAGATTCCTATACATTAATTATCAGGTTTTTTAATTTATGTCTTTACATTTACTCTATCGGGAAATGGACTAGACTTTTTTAATGGTGAAAGAAATGAAGATGCAATTTTTTTTTTTTTCTCCCTGTAAAGGACATTGCCCTCCAAGGGAGCTGCTCAAACAGTCCAGTTTGTCATTTTCCACACGGGTTTCAGGAACTGCATTTTTCTACCACCAATATAATAGTGTCACACTCTCAAGTGGGGGTACAAGTGCAGTTCAAACTGAAATAACAATGCACAGGGTTTTTTTTTTAAATATTTCAAGTATAGACTTCAGACTGAGTGAAGCAGCAGTGATTCTGAAGTATACTTACAGCACCACACTACAATGGATTCTCGCTCAACTATTTCAAAGATACTAAGGCTCACCCCTCTCCTTTTTCACTACCCTTGCTTGTCTTTTCTCCTTGTATTTTGCATTATTGCTATAACATTCCCTCACCTTCCAAACAAATAGTTACTTTCTGAAGATTTACACAGCTTAGAAATGTATTTATTTGATAAAGGTTTGGTAGTAGCTATTTAGAATCTTCTCCTTTAAAGACAGCAGGATTGACTCTTCCCATAGTTTTGTACAGTATCTATTGCTGGAAGTTACTATTGATTTATAAAGTGCATACAGCTTCAGATCTGATGTTTTCAGCTACAGTTTCAGATCAAAACCCCTAAGTCCTGCAGTCTCTTTGTAATATAAAAAAAACCACAGGATAGAGTGGAGTTTAAAAAATAATTTGAAGAGGATTAAAGTAGAAATTCATTGATCAACAAAACCAATAGTCGAAACCATAGTCAGCAGGTGCATTCTTTTCCAAATGAGCAGTCTTAGACATATTCCCTGGCTCACTCCCAAAGTCAAGCAGCAAAACTAATTTAAAAAAAAAGAGGTGTAGTAGGAAAATGCTTCAAGTATCTTACTGCTGTCCAGTTTTACCTACATCTTCCATAAAATACGGGATAACAAAATAAGTTCAATTAATTTATATAAGCAAAAGCTACAATTAGCAAAATACATGGGAGAAAAATAAGCTTCTCAGTAACTTTTCTCCCCACTGACAATATGCATACAGCACATCAATCTTACTAAAGCAGTGCAATTAAACTTAGCATATTCTACTACGTGTATAACCTTTGTGAGACAAGAAGTGAAAGCATAAGACATCAAGCTGAAATACTCTCATGAGACATAGAAATTTTACCAATTAGAAATATGCTTAACTGAGTCACCTTGTGCTCCACAGTCACAACACACATCATTTCCAGTCATCCTCTGGACTTCAGATATAATTTCTTTTGTCAGCTCCTGGACAATATTATTTTCTCCTGTGTTATCATCTCCTTTGAATGCATTATTTAAAGCTTCCTCTTTGCTGTTTTGTAGCACAGATGTCCATCTAAAATGGCAGTAATATTTTGCTATTAAATGTTTCGACACTTCTAAAGTTCAAGGCAATGTCTCAGTAGAACACCAGTATTAAACATCAAATTAGCAAAGTAACTCACATTTGACATTCCTGTTCATCCTCTGCTTGAAAGTGGTACGTTCTGTCGTCTGCACAATAAATAATTCACATACTGATTAAAAAGAATGACTGAAAAATTGATTTTGCATAAATTTCTCAGAAAAATCTAAAATTAACTGATGTATGACTCCTGAGGTCTCTAATCTCATCCCTGGAGCACTGGCAGTGACAAAAAGTCTATTTATCAAGTTTCACTCTTACTACCTATAGTTCATCTATGTTTACGCCTGTGTTTACACAACGCTAACATGTTTTCTTCAGTGCTGTGCTATTGCATGAGCACCAGAAGAGCACAGTAATTTTTCTACATTCTAGATATAACTTCAGTAATCACAAGTCTAAAGTTCTGCTGGGTAAATGGTGGTATGTGTTAGTAAAATAGAGAGTCCACATTTGAGTTTATCTGTGTATATAAGAAAGATTTAAAGTTTCCAAACGAGCTCTTAAAACCACAGTAATAAAAAATGTCAAAACAAATATGCCAAACACTAAGTCAAAACTACAATCAGAATAAGCCTCAAGCTGTTTCAATTAAATCAAGCTAAAATTTTTCCATTTAATACTACTTTTGTAATTCTAAGCATTGTTATCATAGCATACTATTAAAGAAAAAAGCATAATATTTTAAGTCTATGACATGAACAAGATATGATACAGCTTAATGATTGAGTGGCAGTTAAAATTAGAACAGTTGATGAAAAGAACAGAGGTAAAGCTACTGGCAAAAAGATATCCTAGGCTGAAAATTCCTAAAGTTTGAAAAATACTCAGGCATTAAAAAAGGTATTAAAACATAGTTTCAAACATGGAAAATATTAAGAGAATGACAATACACGAAAGGAAAGTGCTAGATAAAGAATAAGAGATTTTATCTTGTCATGATACAGCAATTTGCAATTTTTAAAATACAAGGAATGTTTTTAAACCATAGTAAAACAAAGTGAGAAAGTGATTTGGAGAAGGCTAAGAGGCCAGTTTTGCACTGTCATATGTATGATGGGACAAATGATAATGTTGTGATAAACTGGCATTGGGCAAAATGTGACATGGTCATCAACAAAGAAAAAAAGTGCAGAAAAGGAAGACAACCGCTTGCGTAGAAATGGAAAAGCTGTATATTGCACACATGAGCACTAGTCTATTAACGTAAGTACCATATCTGACATTTACAAATACAAAAGAACTTTATGCTCCAATAAAGGAACAAACGAGCAACAGATTTATATTTGTCTCCCCAAATAATTTGAGATACCTATTTTTATTGAGTTCATAAATAACACTAAAATGTCCTGGTGAGAAAACAAAGGAAACATTCTGCTACACAATTTTGTATCATCTCATTCAGTTCCCACAATTGTTCAGTTTTGGTGGTTTTAATATGTAGACTCTTTATCTCACCTATCTATCATGAGATAACAAAACTAAAAAGGTTCTCAGTATTTGCTTCACAGTTACATAGCAACCACTATGCTTAAATTTGAAGAAGTTTTGTCATAGTTTACAAGCTTACTTTGATCTTGTATAAAAGTCATAACTTTTCAGGATGATCAGCTATGACATTTTCAATACAAAGAGTGATGCCCCAGCAAAAATATTGTTACTTTTGTAATGTAGCACAAAATTGTATAGAAAGGAGTAAAGACAGCTTTAAAAACAAGTGGTTTTCCAAAGAAACAGTTGCATTATGCTAAAATAAGTGAAATGGTAGATTATCATAGGAAGGGCATTTTATAAAGGGAAGCATTCTACAATTGCAAAAATGTTTAAGTGGATTATTGACACATCTATCTACAGAAATAATTCAGAACTCTGATATTAGCTGCAAGTAAAAAGACCTAAACAACAAACCTACGTGATATGAGGTCAAAACATTTTTTCTCCTCTGGGTTTGTTTTCACTTGGCAGGTTAAGAGATTGAGCTTTGCTGGAGGTCGGTTAGCCTATTTGAAGATAAAACATATACATTTTAGTAGATTGATACTGAGTCCTGCAGTCTGAAAACACAGTATAACATGCCACTGGCCAAAAAGACTTGACACATGGCTGTTAACTTTAATTTCTAAGATACTCAGGTTTTGATTTATGTTTTCTTCTGCATCAGGGTTTGTAAACTACATTTTCTTATATCTGGCTATTTTGTTCACTGATAAATGGACAGACACTAGAATTTTGAAAGGGAAGAGGGGTAAAATAACTTTAATTATCACTACTCTAATAACCTTGCCAGTAACACTTATCTGAAGGAATCAGGTATGACAAAAAGACAGATACATTTCACATAAGTTTAATCCTCTAACATTTAGACATTTAGTTTAAACACAATACTTGTCTAGGTTTTCAATAATCAAACAATTTGTCCCCTGCTAATGTCTCTAAAGACAGCCTAGCTCACCAGTTTAGAACAAATGCTCAAATTTTAAATCACTAAAGGGACACGTGAAGGAAAATAAGTTTGCACAGAGAAGTCTTGCAACAAACATATGCAAAATTAAACTGCAACAGTTCATTACTAAAAAATGTAGTGAAACAACACATTCTATAATGATATAAATTTTGTAGTCAAGTTCCTCTCAGCTATTTCAATGCCTTATTGAATAAAAACTGGCAATGTTTTACTAAAAGCAAAATGCACAAGCAAATTTCATTTTGAAAAAGTCAAAGGCTACAAAGACTTATCAAATAGGATCTCTGCGATAGTCTCATCTTTAAATCAGAAAGCAGATCTAACTAGAGAGACTCTGCTCTAGGCAATAATATCTCAAAAATAATAATTTAAATCATTAAGAAAGTACCATTATAAAGACAGCAATACACATAAACACATTACCATACTTACTGTATCAGTTTTAATCTAACAAGTTGCTAAAACAAGATTTAATCATCAAAACAAGAACTATCATCAAATGAAACTGAACTACCACATAGTGTAATTAACTTGCAATGAATCATACGAAACACAGATCTTCTCAATCTCTTCTAAACTTATTGATGAAAACATTTCACTCAAAAAAGAAGGAGAACAAGTCCGAAGGGTACAGATTTCCTTGAAACAACCTGATAAAATGATGTAGCTGGCTAAAAAAGAATAACATCATCATTATATCTGAAGGTCAGCAAAAAAATCAAAACATAAGAAACATAAGGAGGGAAACAATTACATATTTTTTTTCCTGTTAAAAAAAAAAAAAAAGGAAAAAAAGAAGCATGGTGTCCTTGAAAAACATCACGCTCATGTTTTACCCAACATAAGCAGCAGACATAACAAAGTCATGCATGCTCTGAAACAACAAGCCTTCAGGTCACTTGCTGGGCAATGTATAACAAATTGTACCCAAGAGAGGTTTTGGAGGCAGTAAGATGACAATTAATTGACATCCACATTGTATTATTTGCCTAGTAAATACCTTTTCAAATTCCAGACATTCCTTTTAGTAGTAAAAGTGCATACAGTTTTCATTATTTTAGCCTTTCAACAATAAGAGTTCCTTGTAACTAGAAGCATGCAAGAAAACATCCTAAAAACGCCAGCTTTGGCTCATTTTCTCAGCTATATTTAAATATACTTAATATCCATAGCACTCAAGTTTCCAGTGTTTACATTTTTAATGTAACTGTTTGTCCAAGAAGTGTCCAGAAGCTGCCTATAATGAAAACACAAAATAACCAAAAATCAAAATATAAGCCTTTGGTAAACAACCCACTGGGCAACTCATATATACCCTTCTGACAGGCTCTATGAGAATGTAAAAATGCAAGCAAATTCAGGTTAAGAAAGAATCCACTTGCCCCAGGATTTTGGATCTGAAGCACATTCAAGATGTAGTAGTTTTCTATAAGTTATGAAATATGAAGCTGTAAATGGATCCACTGAAATGCTTCAGAGAGGTCTGAAGGACTAATACAGACAGAACTCATCTCTGTGGATGGGAGAATGCAGCGTAAGAACTCCATATCAGGGTCTGAGAACTCAAAGAAATGGCTGCAACAGCCTAAAACACACCCTGGGCCTATGTGCTGATCTTGGAATCCAAACGTATTCCAAAGCTTTTAACTGAAGACCCCCTAACCTGAAGTCACCATTAACAAGGGTATTAAAAAACCCTGATATCTTTGCATGTAGCTGACACCATCTCATTCGTGCTTCTGTCCCACAGCTGAGTACCAGCCTCCTCTGACCCACCTCCCAACGTGGGCCTGTTACTTGGTGGACAACACGCTTCCACCACATGGCAGATGCTGCGTGAGGAGAAGTTAGAGTCACCAGGCAAAGGGAGGCAAGGCTGTATAAATTCCTTACCGACACTAGGCTGTAGGTGGATCTGGACATTTGTCAGGATTAGGAGACACCAGAAGCAGAAAGTGGTAACAAACGTGTAACTGCTATTACACTATTTCTTTGAAACCTCTGAGCTTCATTTTCCTCCTGGAGTCTCTGATTAGACAAATTTCAGACTACTGCTGAATTTTTGGACGCCCGTGTTAACACACCAACACCCTGAAAAGATGTGCTGCCACCTTCCATGCCATGCACACAGGCTTCAGCATCAACTCATGTTCCTGCAGAAACAGTAACCCTCTGCACGGTAAAAATGACTTATATCTGTTCTGGCCACAAACAGTAAGTGTAGGAACTAAAAGGCCAGGCCTCTAAGACAGTACTGAGGAGTGCCATGATGCAGAGCTGATTTTCACACAAGGCACATCCAAATGTGTACACTCACTGAACAGGCTGGCTGGCTGATTTCATCGTGCATTTTTTCTGGATATCACAGTGATTTACTTAAGAATCAAAAGATCAAAACTGATTCTTTTGCCTAAAGATTGTCCTGCTAATCATAACGGTAGATTAAAATCTCCAGCAGTAAAGAAAGAACAACAAAGAAATATTCCTTGCAGACAAACAGCAAATTCCATTTAAGCTCAACTTGGAGGAATCTGAGGTTCCTCAAATGTAACTTTTTCCCTTGTGACTTCTTGATCCAGAAACCACTTGGGAATTCCTGTTTACATGGTTCAATCTGCTTCTATCATTGTTTTTCCATCCACATGCGTGAAATTGCAGTCAGGTAGATGTCAGAAAATTTCCAACTGCTAATAATTACACAAAGCAGCAGTGTCTGTTTTTTCATCAACCATTACCTTGCACATTGCTCTATGAATGCTAATTTCTTTGAAGCTTTTAGACATCTTCAAGTCTAGCCTCTGCACATATGCCAATGCAGACACAGGTGTTCAGCGTTACGCCTGGGTGACCGACAGAGAACCAACCACATTCTCCCCATCCATATCAGCAAAGCATTTGGCAGGCAAGTTTAAGTCAGAATACAGCATCTGCAACTGCCTGAAGACACCTGCTCTAGAAACTAAGCGAAAAAACAGTCCCTCATACAGAGACCAAACAATAGAATCCATGAAGAATATTTAGCCTTTAGAGGAAAAGCATTTACAAATTTATATTTGACAAACAAAACTGACAACCAAATTTCTGAGAGATGGTTTATTTCGATAAACAGCTAAGAAAAGAGAATGACATATCATATTTTAGAGACCAGGAGATATCAGCCTTGAGAAATCTTGGAAATTAATGCTGTTGCTTCAGAAGTCTCAGAAGACAGACTGGAAAATTCTTAACTAACAGAAATTGCTTCCACCCATTTCAATGTCTATGAAACAAGCATTAATTTTTTACACAAAATTGCCATCAATACATAAGAGGAAACTAAGCAAATGAAAAATACTTTTTAGACATAGACTTTAAAACAAGAGGGTACTCTTCTAAATTTGCAATATAAAAAGATCAACACCAAACCTGTGAAACCCACATACCATAGAATAAAAGAATAGTTTGTGTTGGAAGTGACTTCCAAAGAACATCTAGTTGAACCCCCCTGCAATGAGCAGGGACATCTTCAACTGCATCAGGTTGCTCAAAGCCCCATCCAACCTGACCTTGAATGTTTCTACGGATGAGGCATCTACCACTTTTCTGGGAAACCTGTTCCAGTGTTTCACCACTCTCATAGGGAAAAATTTCTTCCTTGTATCTAGACTAAATCTGCCCTCTCTCAGTTTAAAACCATTACCCCTTGTCCTATTGCAAGAGGTTCTACTAAAAAGTTTGTCCCCATCTTTCTTATAAGCTCCCTTTAAGTACTGAAAGGCAGCAATAAGGTCTCCCTGGAGCCTTCTCTTCTGCAGGCTGAACAACCCCAACTCTCTCATCCCTTCTTCACAAGAGAGGTGTTCCACACCTCTGATGATTTTTGTGGGCACCCTCTGGACTTGCTCCAACAGGTCCATGTCCTTCCTGTGCTGAGGACTCCAGAGCTGGACACAGTACTCCAGGGGACTCAGAAGAGCAGAGAAGAGGGGGAGAATCAGCTCCCTCAACCTGCTGGTCACGCTGCTTTTGATGCAGCCCAGGATACAGTTGGCTTTCTGGGCTGCAAGCGCACATTGCTGGGTCCTGTCCAGCTTTTCATTCACCAGTACCTCCAAAGTCCTTCTCCTCAGGGCTGCTTTCAATCCCTTCATCCCCTAGCCTGTATTGATACCAGGGGTTGCCCAAACCCACGTGCAGGACCTTGCACTTGGCCTTGTTGAATCTCACGAGGTTTACACAGGCCCACTTCTCGAGCTTGTCCAGGTCCCTCTGGATGGCTTCCCATCCCTCAGGCATGCATCTAAACTCACATTTAAGTATCTACCTTAGCAACTGTTTTCCAGCTACAGCTCTGCTGGTTTCAGTGGGAACTTACTGCTTCTAAAAATGTTAGACCATCTGGTAGACAGCTTATGAATAGAGAACAACAACAGTATCTTGATAGACTGTGTCCTTGCATGAGAAAGTTTTAAAATTCTGCTCCACAAGTGGATTTTGTAGCCTCTGCCAGCTCTGAGCTTCCCTAGCTCCACTCCTACTGGTACCACTACAGCACATCCAATGTCACGTGCATTTACAGCACATGGCGACACCAGTATAGAAACACTAACAGACTTTTCTCTGACAAAGACACACTCATACACACTCATATGAGAACAGCAATAAACTGGTGGACAATTCCAAAGCCACAGGAGTGACTCTGCTTTGCAGGCCTGTTTTTGCACTCCTCCTTAACTCCTGCTTGTCAATTCAGAAGGCAACAAACAGCTTGTGGTTAGATGCACAAATGAGAGATTGATTCATTTTTCCTGCCAGGGTCAACTTGTAGTCATAGCAACAGGCATAACAGGATGAAGAACAGAACGGTTCATAACAGGATCAAGAAGCAGGACTGTTTACTAGACCAAGAATGGGAAATACTGTCACTGAGTTGATTTTTGCCTCAAGAAACTTTCTCAAAAGTTTTGAGAAAGCACCATAAAAAGAGAAAGGTTATGGGACATCAAAAACAGCTGAGTTAAAGCCAAGTGTAAAAGGCCCAAAATATGAAAGTATAAAGTTTTAAAACTTTACATGTAAATATTACAAATTTGTTAACATGTTTCAAATATTGGTAGCAAAGAAAGAGGAACTCCTAACTTTCTATCTCTTGTCATTGTGAGAGAAGTTGCCTTCAGAGCTGATTTTCCCTAACAGCTACTCCCCAGGAAAACTACCTTCATAACAGATTACCATTTGGCAGCAAATTTGGGGGAGAGAAGAGATTCAGCATTCTCTCAGTTTGTCTTGTCAATATAAAAAGTTGCTTAACCCATATCTAAAAGATGGTGTAACGCCCAACCATATCTTTCAAAAAAACCCCAAAAGAACAACTTAGAATTTGTATTTTTAGATAGCCTGGTAAAATACGAACAGTTTACATGAACTGAGTCATTAAAAAAGCCATTTTTTCCCATTAACAGTCATGAGCATTAAAACAGTTGTATTTTTAGATACTGTGTATGCCTTGATATATTTCTGAAAGACTGCCTTAAAAAGAATGTATCCATCATATTCAAAGTGTTGCATCAGGGATCTAACTAATTCCAAATTATAAATATAGACGAGCATAGCTTGCTTTTTTGTATTAGCAACCATGTACATAAAATACTGTAAACAAATACTTACTGTACCATGGGAAATGGTAAGAAAACCATTTTTGACCGAGCACTTCCTTTTTTGCCACACTTTTCTGATTCTGGTTTAAAAGGAGGAAAAAAAAGTAAATTTTTAATATATTTAGTATTACACATTGCTTCAGCTCTTAGGACTTATTTTTTTCTCAGTGGAATCAGGCAGTACTTACCCATCACTTTTCTTGTACAGACTACCATTTCGTTCAGTGCCATGTTCCTTGTTTCCCTGCGGCTGATGTAAACTGTAAGCTGTACTCTGACGAATCTGAGAATCCTAGAATATACAGAACAGCAATTTGTAATGCATTCCACACTTTCAACCAAAATATCCCCCCCCAATAATGACTTTCAGAGCCTCTCTTTCCCGCTCTAATCCTACAGCCCCAACAAAGCACATTTTTCCTCTTTAATGAGAGAGAACAACATCCACTTCTTTTTTTCAGAGGGCACAAAAACCATGAGAAGTAGCCATTATCAGCACCTGCCAGAATCTTCTTACTTCCTTTTATTTAGCTTTACTATTGGCCTTAATATATGGGGTTTTTAATCCAAAAATTAATTGAGCAGCAGGCTCTCCAACTCCTGCAAACACAGCAATGTACAAACACTAAAGGTTATTATTACCTGCAATTCCTAGTGCACCCTTCCATTGTAAGAAAATTACATAAATAAATTTGAAGAAGTGGTTTTCCTTGTGGAAACTGAGTCAAGTTATACTCTGAAAAGGAGAAGAAACTTCCTGGAAACATAGTTCAGGGGGCAGACAGGAAAATCGAAAAGTTATATCTTTAAGAGTAATTTAAACCAAAATATCTTGAACAAAGTAGAATTCTGTGAGAGGAAGTGACAAGGATTCACTAAAGCCTTCTCACCGCTCTCAGAACCACCCAGATGCAGGACCCACTGCTGCAAGTATCTAACTTCTTACAAAATAAGAACCTGATAATGAGGAATCTGATGTGTCCAGCTGTATCAGCAGCAGCAACACGATGGGATGGACTTTGCAATGCATACAGTAACAATGACTAATACTTATAATATTTATTGCTTTTTTTCTATGATCTTTGTTCTATGGACGTAATAACACCTCTGTTATACGTGGCAGATAATACATGTACAGCAAGGAAAAAACCACACAAATAAAGCAGCTGACTTAAATGACTATCTGATCTATTCTAAGCAAAAAACTTTACAGCTATTAAGGAATAAACTTACTAATTTGATAAAAATAATCTCTTCTGCTAAAAAGATGAGATAGTATGTCTCAGATATACTATGAGTATGATCACAAGATAAATAATTTTGGGGTTTCAGAGTGTACACATGAGAAAATAAAATATACAGTGATCTAAAAGTATGAATTAAGATAGTTTCTCTCTAATTACAATTAGCTTCATACACTTTAATAGCCTAAGTATAAGACATCTCTGGACATAAGCAGGGGAAAAAGACCACAAAAAAAAAATCAAGAACACACTTGGACTGTGCTTTTTCCCAGAGAATGCCAGCTCAGCTGCTGCTCCTTTACAAGCTCCAACAGCACATTCTGCTATGAATGCTACAAATGCAGCCAAAGCTGTTCAGGAACCTCCTCAACAGAAGTGACAACACACAAGAGGTCCGAAATACGATGTTAGGGACAGAGCTACCACCTACACCCCTGTTCAGTGCACTTAGGACTCCATACCTCCAGGCTGCAGGATTTCAGGCTCGTCCTGAATTCAGTGCTGGAGCTTGGTGGTCCTGAGAACCATGATCAAAGCTCAAGGCAGGCTGCAGCACTCCTCAGTGCTCCTTTTCATCAGAAGTAACCTGTGCCCACCTCCCTGTCTCTCAGCTAGTGATCTAGGAAGCTGTAACAGGTAGCTACAAGATTCATCTGAGGCTTTTAAAGGCACTACAAAACCACCACTTAAATGTCCATGCCTGACAAAGCATCCATCCCTTCAGATTTAAACCAGTCTGTTTAGCATTCCTCTCCAGCCTGTTTATACAGAACTATTATTTAGTTTTGCACTCTGGCTGCCCAACATAAAAACAGAACATTGAAAAAGAATTCTCATCGCCCATTAAGAACCACTGCACACATGTATTTACCGATTTCTGAAGAAAATCTGATCTGACATTGCCTATTGTGAGCTACCAGTGCCTTAAGCTCTGCCTCCCATTAGCCAGCAAAGCAACTCCATTCCCAAGGAGGCCTTCCAGGAAATTAATTTCAGTTCTCCATATCCTCAATTATGTAAAGATTTCAGATGACCTCCAACACCTGCCCATAGCACCATTCCCATTACTTTAGACTGTGCTTCTACTTTTCGTGCATTATTTTCTGCTGTATTTCAGCTACCTCCCTTCAGCTGTTGTTTACGCTCAGTTGCTGTGCTTGGCCAAACCAATAACACAAGCTTCCTGCCTTATTTCAACCAGAGAGGAAGCTGATGTAGTTGATGTGTATTTCCACACATTCATTACTAGGAACAGTATCTTTAAAAAATTTAATACTATTTCATGTAAAGAACTTAAGGACAAGACAAGGAGATTTTCAATTTTAAATCCTTAGTTCAGGTCACGTCCAAATCAACAGTGTCCAACGTGACTGCCAGATGATGGATTTCCACAGCTCTCTCACAAGCAAGTTCATAATCTTGATTCAGTTCCTAACAGACAGGATGCCATACCACACATCACCATCACAATTAACATCCTTCCAGGCAATTTCAGCATGCTTTTTCCATCCATCCATCCCCAAAGGATCTTCCTTTATTTCTAGTTTGCATATTGCACATAAGCAGAGTACAAATCACAGATAACAGGGTCGGACCCAATGGCCTCATCAGAGGAGCAGGAACAATGTACATTACCTATGGGAGGAAACGGATCACCACAAGACATAGGACATACCTCGTGCAGAGTATTGTCATTTTAATTATCTCTTGAACATAACAAGATCAGAACAGACTGAAGTACACAAGCCTAAGAAACTGAACTTCATCCACCTTATCAGCTTTGAAATGCAGATAGGCATACAAAAAACCCCAGGTGAGTCACTTCGCTGCAGCATATTTATAGTGAATCGCTTCACTGACCATAAAGAGGTTTGAAAAGATTTCTTCCGAAGTCTTATAAAGACCAACTGACTTCTAAATCAAGCTGACTAGCATAGCTAAAAATGAAAGAAATGTGAAAAAAGTATTCTATAAAGACAGTCTGTGACTACTGATAAGAGAGATTCTAAAAACCTACTTATCAGCCCCACTATTTGAACACGACAGACCTTTCCATATAAGGTGCTTTAACTTATTCACGGCAAATTTGGCTAGCCATTGCACAACTCCCAAGGAGCAGGATTTTAGACTATCTGGATCACTCCTGTGCATGAAGCTGCCAAAAAGCCCCTACAGCTCTCCAAGAGCTCTTGCATTTGTAGGAACATTGCCAAGAGGATGTTTCAGAGATCCATCCCTTATCTATTACAGCCCCACACAGCCTCCAACAGATGTATCTGCCAGAACCCCCTGCAGGCAGCCTCTCCTATAGCACAGGTCCCGTGATTTTTGTCAAGAAACACTAAACTTATCCTATTTTGCAGCAGCCTAAATAGATTATATTCTACCAAACACGCAGGAGAAACAGAAGCAAATCTAAACACTACAGTAAGGCTACCTTCAGAGAGGACAGGGGAAAGAGAGAAATGAAGGCAATATGACTCTAAGTTTGACCCCGATACCTGCAGTAGCTCTACAGCTTGAAAACTAAAAGTTTAAAAATTCGAAGTTACAGAGGTGTACACACAATGACGTTTCAAAGAGATGTTTCAATACAAACCAAGTTTGAAGAATTTCTGTGCAGGAGGAAACTATGTATGCAGGCACAACAAAATAAGTTTACTATGAGTGCTTGTGTCTTTTCTTTTTTTAACAAAACAGAAACAATATTTCTCAATGTTCTATTACTACATATATGAAGTCCATTTTAATAAAAAACACATATATCTTCAAAATCTTGCAAGAACGTCAAATCAAGCAACTGGATTTAATTCCCAAAAGAGAGTGAAAAGGAAACCACCAATTTGTCTTAGAGCAATTTTCTTTCCCAAGAACAATCTGATAACTTTTTTTTGGTAATACAATAAACAGAAGAGGAAAAAAAAAAAAGAACCAGTCTTTTCATACCAACAGAAAAAAGCTCAGAGGAAAAATCCAGTTTCTTGAAATCTGAATGGAAATCATGCCAACTATTTTCATTAAAACATAGTAACACTTACTCTCCTAGACTTCGGTCACAAAATGTAAATGCATTTCAGGAAGGAAAAAGAAATCAGTTATAGTACAGGAAATTACAGTGCAACAAGAATAATCTTAGTGGGTCATACAGTAAATTATACCAGGATTGTCTGGCATCCCACTGATTAACTGATGTTTTCAAAAAACTTTAAAAATAATTATAGTACTTCTCATGCTCTGCAGGTGAGCATCTATATCTAAATTTGCTGAACTAATAAATAATCAGTATAGCACAAAGCACTTTTTACACTTGTATTTTTAAATGCAACAAAACCAGTACAAGTAATAAATTTATGTGTATTATTACATTTTTTCAGTCTGTGAAAAGATGTGTGCTTACCACAACATCACTGATAAACAGGTAAACATAGAGAAGCAACATTCCCAGCAACCATGAAACCCAACTGCTTCTATCATCTCTCTTGAACAAAGACCAGAACAAAATAGGAAGCCTGCTAACAGATCCCAAACAGCAAAGACTCCTTATTGACAGTGGGCAATCAATGGTGAGTCCAAAGTAGTCACCATTTCTACTAGGATCATTACTCTTTCATTCCACACAGCTCAATTTTGGAAGTCTGTCCTAAATGCCAGGCAGAGCCTAAGAAAGTGCCTGCAAACTGTATGGGACTTTGTACACATCAGTCATTATCACGAACTTCACATGGTAACAAACAGCACCTCTAAGTGAAGAGCGTTTTAGACAGTTTGAATGCCTATCAGCAAGTCATAGAATGGCAGAATGGTCTGGGGTGGAAGGGGCCTTTAAAGATCACCTACACCAGCCCCCAGGCCATAGGCAGGAACATCTTTCACTAGGCTGCTCAACAACCATCAGCTGGCCACCGGTAAGAGCCAGGAGTCACCATAATCTTTATGGGAAGATGAAAGCAAGACTGGAAAAGATCAAAACGTACTTCTTTGTTAGACTGCCGAACTGACCCAGCTCTTGCACGTTTGAAAACAGCATCTTGCAGCAGAGTAGCCAACTTAATTGTAATTTTCACAGATGATGACAAGAGGTGTTTTGGGATTTGAAGTTCGGTTTTACATAATCTTGATGCAGTCTGGAATATTATTGTGAGATTAGATTATACTAATGGGGTCTCCTTGATACTGCCAAAGTTCTTCCATTCTCAGTTTGAGCAACATAGACACCCTTGTCTGTTAGTTCACAGACAGTGCACCACCTTGAGTATTTTGCAATATTGGTAACAGAAAAAATTCTTCTCCAGTAAGTGTGATACATTTTTAGTGAGAATTAATTTCAAAAAACCCCGGGCCTCTGTCAGAAACATGCAGTATCAGCATCAAAACAAAGATGAATAAATGAAATAAATTAGATGGCTGATAAAAGTTAAAATAACTCCATTTCAAATACTAACATTACATTAGAAGTAACTAAAATGGGTATTCCAAGGTTAACCACCTTATATGCTCACCTCTTTCTGATCAACCTGGAGTGCTGACTTTAAAATATCTCTAAGCTGTGCCAATTGTCTTCTTTCCTCATCTTGTGCTTGTTTAATCTTAATGAAGAAAAACACAAGTTGAAATAACATTATTGTTTCTTTCCAACACAGTTCTTCTAAACTTGCTACTTAATTAACTATTTTTTTCTGAGAAATGTTCAGCAAGAATGAAAACACAAAGAAAAAAGAATAACACAATCAGTTTATTTTCCTTTATATCTTCAGAAAACTTGATAATGGCTAGGATTTTGCAAGGTGAAGACTTTTATACTGCCTCACACTGTTCTTGCTTCCTTGTGTTCAATTTGAAACAATATGTTATTTTCCACTTAGACAGTAAAGATTTTAGAGCAAAGGCTGTTTTCCTAACATTTTACACAGTGGTGTCCTGAACTGAAACTAAGGTTTCTGGATACAATACTAAAACAAAATTTTACTCAAAAATCTACTCAAAACAAATGTGAAAGGTTGCTACTCACTGTATAAAGATCTGTCGAGAGTGTCTCAATCGAAGGCTTGAGACTTTCAACTGCTTTTAACCCATCCTGAAAGAAACTTAAAAAGAAAAACAAAAAACAAACTCTTATTAAACTTTACTTTTTATTTTCTGTTTAAAAAGTTGTCAAATGAATACATGCATATTATTATGCCATGCCATAAACTTCAAAACATTAAACATTAATTTTTTATGCATTTTTGACTGATCCACCTTTTTATTTCCATCATAGCTTATTCTAGCATGCAAAATCCCCAATTAGATTCAGAACTGCCACAATCCACATTTTTTATGCATTCTTACCTCAAATACAGGTTCTTATCCCACTTTTTGAAGGCCCAGAACAAGCAAGGTTCATTTGTAGAAGAGAAAAAGCTCTACTACATATAAAATAATTTGGATTTCTTGGAGCCCAGTAATTTCACGCCTGATGCAGTCTTCCTACTAAAGGAAAACCCCTTTGTTTCCCAAGCATCAATTATGGTCTATATGCAAACTGAACATGCTACATCTTACTGTCCCATACGTATTTTTATATTGGCACAATAATGGTATCTATGTCAAGCATTCCAGATCTTTTAAAAAAAAAAAAAAAAAAAAAAAAATTTAAAGAAACCGCAACTCAATGCTCATATGTTTAAAAATCGCTGCACCATTTGCAATAGAAAATATTTTCACTCTGGGAAGCATACATGAAAGCGACAACACAACACAGCATTTATGTTGTTGAAATTTTATTAAATGGACAGGGCAGATAAATGACGCACTACAAGTGAAATTGATTTTAAAAGCAATATAGCAGGGAAAAAACCTACAGAGATGCAGACTGGTCTTTTAAGACGAAAACTTCATAATTTGAACAGGCTAACAGTAGCTCTTTCAAGTTCATAGCCGTGACTTTATTGCTATATTATTGATCTATTAGACTACCATAAAATAGTACATCATTCTAATGAGAGGGTTATGTTTTATTACTGAGTCCTCCAATTAATCAGAAAAAGAGTGATTCTTTCAATATACTTTTATCCCAGTGCTTATGCAATTTATTTTTCTTAAGCACAGAATTAATTTAGATCATTGCTAGATACACTCAAAAAACCCCGTGAAAACTAATGGGCTACTAACTAATAGAACAAACTAACAGCTCTGTTTCAAGAGTAGTTTATGAAATATGCCGAATTATTGTGCAGCACTCCTTTGGAACAGACAGTTATATTCTATGGGTCTAGGTCAACCTCATTACATGTTTTGGAATACGGTAACAAAAGCAATGACTGATCTATGACAAAAGCAATTTGTCAAAAGAGATCAGCAAGAACAGTTGAATCTTAGATTTATTTTGAAAAATCAAGAAAACTACTATGAAGATGTCAAAAGTTTAAAACAAAACATCGTTCCAGTTATTGTGTAGATCTAAAGAAAACCAAAACATACTTGCACTGAGCATGAAAATACTTGATCAAGTTCTGAAGCAAGTCCACTCCTTTTTTAATCTTGATTTCATTGACTTTCAGCAGGTACTGTTAAAACAGAAAATCACAAAATAAATTAATTAGTACTCCTACAGTATTTTTTCAACATTTTATTTTCAATTATATTTCAACAAGCTTTAACAGTTGCAAATTTAGAAGACCTAAAAGAAAATGCATCAAACAGTGACTTCAAGGGTTAATCACACAAAAGCAATTGTTTTCATGGCTGATTTTTGATACTCTGTGGGTACATTTCACTGTGATTTGTTCAAATTATTAAAACATCCTTCATGGCTCCTACTGGAAGTCTGTGTTAAAGGAAGCATAAAAGGGTTTGTGTAGTAAATTTAGGAATCCATTCTTAAACCTAGCAGCCCATGTAGGTATTTATATCACTACTTGTTCAATTCATTGCTAAATAGATGTCATTAAGGAAGAATGCAGTTTACTCAAAAAGAGTGAGGGATTATTTTAACAATTTTTAAAATCTGACTTAATCATTTTCTCTATCAGTTCTTTATATACAGTATAATTACAGCAAATTACAGTTTAGCAAGAGATTTAAAAAACCTATGTCAAGCTAAAAAAAAGTGTAATTGGTGTCCATTTGCATTAGGGACAATCAAAGTCCATATTAAGTGACAGCTCCTCCCCTGAATGCAGTAGCACAAAACATGTCAGCCATGCAAGTAGAAGTAAGATAGAAAAATATTTACAGGAGTCCTTAATGGCCCTTTTAATTATGACAATTTTTAATCCCTGCTTAGACAGTGACCTCCAAGCAAAGGAGTGAATGTCTTCTTAGCAATGCTCTAATGCATGTGGTTTTCCCTACCTGCAGTACAACCTAAATGTTTTAAACTCCGTGAAATAACGCAGTATCCAACTGCCAGCTTTCAATGTTGAAGCTTTTTATGCTGGCTCAGGGGAACAGATGATTAGCCTAACTCTAGACATGTGCACTGGACAGTATTTAGTTAGAAGAATCACGTCTCTAGCTCCTGTTAATTTAAAATGGAGCTTTATTCATTCACGGTCACAATTTATAGAGAACTAGCCTGTACCTGTGATACAATCTCAATATGTCACACTTCTGATCTACTAATAAAACCAAAACAAAGTCCCCTTTTATGACTATTCAGAGGTAACAAAGTATAAACTTTCCCCAAAAATCCGAAGAAATACAGGATACGCCTCGACCATTCCACATTCAATGTAACTTAATGCAGTTTTGCAGACTTCACTCTGCTTTTTATTATCACTATAACTGACTAAAGTTAACTCCTTTACTGGGACACAGGAAGATAGAAGCATCTGTTTCTGGTTGTTTCTTACGAAGTATACAGATGGGCAATCAGCTGGCAACATCCGTATGTTTATTTGGTACTCAAACTCCTTCATCAGTTTTGAATACTTTAGTCTGACTCCGTATAAGAATGTGAAACTTTTCTACTAAGTATCAGTGCATGCAGTTACTAAAAGTGGTATTCAGGACAACTGCTGTTAAGCTATGTTGGCATATGAGTCAAATTAGCTCTGATCATCACAGCAAAAACAGAAGGAACACCCATGGTGTATTTTTGAGTTAATGCACAGAAAGAACAAACACAGCAACTTGAACTCCCAACCACGGAGCCTGACATGCCCTTAAACTAATCAGACCAAAAATGTTCATATCAGATTTAACATACTGCAAAATCACAAAGATTTCAAAGTACAAACAGTCTGAAACATCTCGAAAGACAACTGGATCCCATCCTTAGCCCTTTTTTTTTCAGCACCAGCCCAACAGTGTGCTAGACTGAAGTCTCTCCTCATAATAACGCAACAGCTGTCAGCATTGGGAACAATTCAGAGAATGATCTAGTGCTTAAAATAACTTATAGTGAAGTAGTAGTGTAAAGGCTTATTTATCATCATCTCTTATTGAGCTTTGCATTATTTACTTATTCTACAAATTACTTAAGCAAAATTAGAAAATCCCCAGCAAAGTCAGCACATCAGCATAAAAAAAAAAAGTGTTTTAGCAAATGGAGTCCACTAATAACTTGGTGTTTCCCTTTAACGTTACAGTTGCCATTAAACAGCTGTGTTTTCCTAAAAATATTCATGTTGAATCTTACCTCACACATCTGTAACTGGAAGAACCTTCTCTCTTTCTCCATCTCTTCTGCAATTTCAGCTCCACTTATTTCCGTACGGATCATTCCATGCAGCTTAGCATGCTCTTTTTTCTCCTTCTCTATTTTTGTACTATAAGACAAAGAATCAGTCAATGAAGTGAGAAATCCACAGCCTCACAGGAAATCTGATTATTCACAAAGTCTACTGACAGATGCAGAGCCAAACTCTTGTGGCTTTTTATATGACTTACTTCCAGATGAGACTTCATTTGAAAGTTGCCAATGACTAAAGATCAGCAATGACATACAGTAGCTGAAATCTGATTCAATCATCTGTTAAAATAATGTCCTGACAGATATTCCAAAAGATGATACTCAATGAGAGGAAGATACTAAGTTCTTGCATTGAAGAAAAAAAAACAGAAACAAAATAACGGATTTATTTGAAACTGTAAGGGGATGTTTAATCCCAACTGACCAAACACTGGCTAAAGAGTTCAATTATGTCACCAGATTTATTGAGTCTTGCCTGTCATCAAGTCATCTTCTATATATACAGGATCTCCTAAGCCAAAATCACAGTTGCCATCTCTACTTGCTACTGAGCCAGCTGGCACTGGGAATGCCAGCCAGCCGGCTGTGTTGCAGACTTCAGAGTCTGCTAGACCAGCTGTCCTAATTCCCTAAAAGTTTCCATGAACATTTTCCAAGAGCTCTGAATAAAACATGTCCTCCTGCAGAATATAAATGAATAACCAATACAGTATAACTCCCCTAAACACACTTGTGCTTTTGTTCCGGCTATTCTCCATATTATTCCTAAAGGCAGTAGCATAGTTATACTACATAGTTAGACAGCCTAATATGAAAAAATGTTATTAATAAAATACATGATGGTGTTTACTTTTTGGAGAAAAACTTAGCTTGCCACTTGTACTGTTCAGAAGCTGAAAATTATGGAAAGAACTTCCTGAGGAAATGCTATACTGCTTTTGAACAAGAGGAACTATTACACAGGAATACAGGAAGCAAATGAGAGGAACAAATAACACACGCACTGTCGTACCTCCTCTCGGGCAGTCAAGAGTCTCTCAGCTCCCTCTCTGAAAAGATGACATGTCTCAAGTGCTCTCTTAACCTGATGTTAACATTACCCTAACAGCTTCTGGGAAAATGTCCTAGAAGGTCTAAGGACTTCCAGTCAACAATTATAATCTGTACTTCTCAAGAATAAGAAACTGTCTCCTCTTACACCTCAAAGAGCAAGGGAAAACCAGAATTAATCCCATTAATCCCATCTTGTAACATTCCCACAGGGAAACATTTTAAACAGCAATTCAAAAAGCCCCACTGTGCTCTTGGTACTGGCCGGCACGGCAGAGCCAGCCCTGTGCAGTATTCCAGCAGCCAGCACACCCCACAGCACTGTGCTCCTTCTCAGCCCATCATGTCCTGCCAGAAGCAGACATTCAGAAGGAAGCATTTCTTTGAAATAAATATTCTGAAAACCTTCACTTGCCTGAATGAAAACTCGATTCCAGAATGTTCTGCTTTCATCAAAAATGAGTCTGCCCTCTTACCCACTTACTGCCATTTTGTAGCCACCAAATAGGGTCCAAATGCAAGAATTAACCAGACATCAACCAGGAACAAGGAAGAGAAACCATTACAAAAAGATTCACAGAAAACGACAAATACGCAGCTCCTTTCTAGCACACACTCCAGAAGAATTTACATTATATCACACTTGATAGTTCTAAAAAAGTCAAACCTCAGAGCAAAGATCCAAGCCTTCTACGATAGGGCCACAGCACTGGTGGAGAGAAGAAGGACAACTGACATCATCTACTTGGACTTGTGCAAAGCCTTTGACACAGTCCCACATGACATCCTGGTCTCTAAGTTGCAGGGACATGGATTTGACAGAAGGATCACTTGCTGGATAAGGAATTGGCTAGATGGCCACACTCAAAGAGTTGTGGTCAATGGCTCAATGTCCAAGTGGAGACCAGTGACAAGTGGTGTTCCCGAGGGATTGGTACTGGGACCAGCGTTGTTTAACAT